GTAACGACCCCTGCAGCATATGGGCGGGCACATGTCAATCGCCCTGAAGCAAAAAACAGATAACAATAATAATGAATGTGACATGAAAAGCAGTTAACCAACCTTGGAGTGAGTATAGCAATGCCGTCAAATGTGACAACAGCTTCCTCACCTCCGGCACCAACATCAGCCATTGACATAATTTTGTCACGAAAAACCTAACAGGTGCAAATCATATTACTCAGTTTACCAAGAGAAGTTATCGTGTCATGGAAGGGATTAATGATCTCCTCTAATGAATTCAAGAAATTGAATTAATACGCCTTTTGCTTACTTGAGCAGGAGGTCGGTTTTCATCACCAACAAATTGAGTGTTTGAATTAGGGATATGAAAGCTGATTTCCATCAGTGAGTCTTTCTGAAATCAATGAAAGTGTGGCTTACTGAGAATAGAGTGGCTTTCAAGAATTAGTCAAGAAGTGTGTCATTCAAGTAATGATTGGGCATGCCAACAAAATCAGAAACACATCAATGTCAAATGAAAAAAAAAAAAAAAGAACTCTTCAGCAATCATTGAGGACAGTAAGTAACTTCATTAGCCCCAGTTGTATCATCTACATGGAACTCCAACATGACATCATTTTTTCCTTGAAGCTGTGTTTGAGAAACGTCTGCCAATGATATCTCAAATGCTAGCTTATTACCAACAAGAAAAGCGAGCATATTCGCTGCAGAAAGTGGAGCAGAGTCAAACATGTATGTGTGCGCATTCCAAATAAAATAGATGTTCCAAGAGAAGATCATGTTCACATGTGTATACCAAAAGAAAAAGCAAAGAGAATATCAAACAAAAAGAAAGAAATATCAGCACACACAGGTGGGAACAAATAAATTGCATCATTGTGCCCACAACTAAATGTCACATGATTTTTTTTTTTAAAAAAAGCCCTTCGAAGATTGTATAAAACCAATAATGTCATCAACAAATCCCATGTAGATGTTTGGGGGGGGGTGTCTCTTCTCCTTTTAACCTTTATTTTCAATATTTCCTCCTAACCTGCAACTTTCGCATGTCTATTTTTTTTTTAAAAAAAAGCCCTTTGAAGATTGTATAAAACCAATAATGTCATCAACAAGTCCCATGTAGACAGAAGAAATACTAAGATAACAGCTCTCTTCAGTATTAAATCTTGCTTCCATAAATGATCAATTGCAAAACTATTAAAAGCAATATGTGCAGTGTGAAATTCAAATTTAAATCAGTTGCATTCAGCCAATTAAGTTGAAGGCATAAAAAACCAATTATTTGTAACAATCAAGGTTATTTCAATTACTACTCATATATAGAAAAAGAAAAAACATGTATGTAAAGCATAAGAAAATCAGGGGAGCAAGTGAACTAGAGCAGAAAGCACATATCCCAACCATTTAGATCAACATCTCCCCAATTTTTTCCACTAATTGATAGCTGCTTTTCCTCCGGAGATATCCCGCAAGAACTCTGGAAATAGGTGGTCAAACTCGCAACATCCTGCAAATAAGTAAATACACAACCAAGGGACATCAAAAACTGATAACACAAGATAATGATGCATGAATGTGTCCCTATCCAACAGGTTCTCCAGCTATTACATACATTGCACAGATTCAGAGGTATAAACTTGTACAAAGAAGTTAGAGATGGTCAGCTTCTACCAGTATCTTAATGAAGAAAATCACTTTTCTTTGGCTTCAATAAACTCAGAACTTTGCCTTTTGGCTTCAATAAACACGGAACTTTGTCTTTGGCTTCAATAAACTTAGAACATTGCTCTCCCCTTGTTTCTGTTTTCCTCACAGCCTGAAATTACAGTAGTGGAACTGTGACACTAAGCACTCACTTCCAGTAGCCAGTTCCAAAGTAGATCTGTGTTAGGTATCCAATTCACCCATAATTCTTCTTCTTTTTTGGCATCTAGTGTCCAGTACATTACATGCATTGGGGCCCGACTACACCCGGATTTGGGCTGGGAAGTCCCACATTGAACTCCCTAACAAAAGCAACTCCGTAATCACTCAAACCCGAGACCTTTGGTTAAAGATGACGGAGTACTTAACACTCCACCACACCCTTGTTGGTCACACCTAAATTCAATTTAAGTTACCAGTCAACCTGTAAGATTGATAACCATGTCCATTCCCTGGTTTTCCTTTAATTAAACTATTCTTAAGTTTCTAATTACCATGTACTGAGTAACTTAGTAACAAAATTTCCAAACTTTTTGCGGCTAATGGTCTGTCTCTATCCATTGATTGAGCTGTTTCAATTCCACTACATCAGCAATGAAATAGTTCAAGAAACTGATAAACTGAAACGTGCTAAAAGCAAAATAGAGACTCACCTGGTCACGAAAACCAGTAAATTTGTAGTAAAGACCATCCTTAATCCGCACACCCAGCTGATTACTTCGAGGAACTTTCATCCAAGTAAGGCCCACTATATCTTCCTTGTCAACTTCCACAGCCTTACCACCACCTTGTTTCTTCCATAATATACCTCCAGACTGAACCTTGAGCTGCCCTGTATTCTGCATTCTCAGAAATTATTTTTTAAAAAAAATATTATCATTAACATATATGAATATGCAAGACATGTATCTTGAAAATAAAATCTTTCTCCTTTGTGTGTATCTTAAAAATTCTTCTGTTTTTTCCTTTTCTTTTGTCCAAATGGGCCCAAAACAGATGGAAATATCCAATAAAGACACTTAATTAGAGTTAAAAACTAATAAAAGCACTAAACAAACAGAGCACAAAATTAGGGTTTAAATCACATTACAATAAAATCATCCATTCACAAGGCTAGGATTCAATCACGTCCAAGAAATTTATCAATTCATACTGCTAGGGTTCAATCACGTTCAAGAAATTCATTAATTCATAGTGCTAGGTTCAATCACGCTCAAGAAATTCATCCATTCATAGTGCTGACGTTCAATCACGTTCAGGAAATTCATCAATTCATACTGCTAGGGTTCAGTCACGTTCAAGAAATTCATCAATTCATACTGCTAGGGTTCAATCACGTTCAAGAAATTCATCAGTTCATACTGCTAGGGTTCAGTCACGTTCAAGAAATTCATCAATTCATACTGCTAGGGTTCAATCACGTTCAAGAAATTCATCAATTCACTGCTTAGGTTCAATCACGTTCAAGAAATTCATCAATTCATACTGCTTGGGTTCAAGAAATTCATCAATTCATAGTGCTAAGGTTCAATGTTCAAGAAAATCATCAATTTTTATCAAGAATCCATCTAAAACAACGAGAACGGAAAGAGTTAGGATTTAAAAAGAAACTGTTACAACGATTTTAGTATAAATAAGATTTAGGGTTTTAAGCATGCACCTAAAGAAGAAGACGAAAAAACATACGGAAGGCCATTTGAAAGTCGGAATCAAGTAACGAAGAGAACAAAAAGAAAACAAGACTATTTGTAATGTAAACAAGATTTAGGGTTTTAAGCATGTACCTAAAGAAGAGAGTAAGAAGAACTTACGGTGCCTCCACGGCCGCCGAGAGAGATGTTGTTGAACTGATGACCGTCCGTCATTGCTCTGTATGTAAAAACACACACTGCAGTAAAAGAGGAAATGATTGTATACTTCACTTATATATGTAGATCAACTTCCTCCCGCGCGAAACACATTACGCGGTTTCGGACTTTTCGACCCGAGCCGACATGAAACCGACCATTTGTAATGTACACAATATTTTTTTTAGATTTATTTTCGAGATTATATTAATTATATTATTACTGTTATTGTTGTTGTAAATTTGTTATCGAAATTTTTTTAAAGACGTTTTTAATCAAATTAGTTGATCGACCTCTTTGTAACAATCAACCCTCTATTCTTAGTTTGTTCATATGAATAATTTTAGCTTGTGGAAATTAGTATGTTCAAATTGTAGCATTTAAAAATTTGAATGAATTATCAATTTATACTAAATGAAATTTTGGTTTCACAAGTTCTATCATTACTATTAACCATCTAAAAAAAAACATCCTAAATTAACCTACTCTCGAGTGAATTTTGAGCAATGAGTAAATTTGCATTAGCTAATACTATTATTCACTAATCTATTGAGTATATCTATATTCTCATAACAATGATGACTAAATGAAGCTCTCTATTACTTGCATCCTCTTAAACTACGTCTCGTTAATCATTTAACTGCATTGGGCAAATTATGTAATTTGCCGTCTAATGTGAAGATCATTTTTTCCTTCAGAAGAACAATTATATTTGCACTTCATGGTAAATAATTGTCCAAGTAACTCAAAATCCTCAAAGCTATAAAATAACGATAATATATTCAGTATAATTTAATAAGACAAAAAAAGAGAGTCATATCTTACCCCTTTGTGAGGTAGAAAGATTGTTTCAAAATCCTCAAAAAGTTATAGCAAGCAAATTTTTCAATCCGTACAAAAGTAATTCTCTTTTGCTTCCAACAATCATACTACTCCCATATAACATCTTTGGCAAGAATTAAAACATATGATTAAATATTTCGAATGCCAAGGTTAGACATTTGTATTTATAGTAGATAGAGCTTAGTAATTTCAAATTCTAGTTTTTATTCCCAAATGATGAATAATTTGGCTCACAGCCGTGCTCCAAAAGCTGGTAAAAAAAATCACCAGGAAGATAAAAATAATCATCATTACAGGTTTTTGATAAGAGCAATAAGTAAAAACTTAGACATGTTCTACTTCTAAGCCAAAAAATAAGCACTGATCACTAAAATCCAGCATAAAATTCTTCTCTTTCTTTTATTCAATTTAAGAGATTTTTTGTGTTCCCAACACATTGTGCAAGGAGCTAATTCACAAACTTCTGGGAAAAGAAATTATACATGGGAAGAAGTTGGAAAATAAGTTAGTTGATGTGCTTATAATCTATTAAAGTCTTCAGTTAACATCCAAAGGAAGTTAGACCAAAATGCTCATATATGATCCAAAGGGCTTGATCAAGATGTTCTGTGCTAGTTGAAAGTTGAAACTGCAGTACCTTTTCTTAACAAATGAATTCTAATTTCAGAGCTTGCAGCCAGCATGCTACTCGTAGATACAGGTGTTGTATCAACTCAGATCTTACAAAACGACGCTTTAGAAAATATCAAAATTGTTTTCGCTTGTTGGAAAAGAACTTGTCTCTCTTTGCCCAAACATACAGAAGGAATATAAAAACTCCAGCAGACATAGAAACTGATGCCCAGGGAAATGGTGGGTCCTTGAAACAGACTAGCGATGCTTCCAGCTCTTGAGAAGCATGATAAACAAGAGAATGAATGGCATATATGTCATGATCTGATGCCCGCAGGTAATACAAAGCCATTTCAAAGTCAAAGTGTGAGAGTGCTGAAACTGCTTTGTCTAGCTTGTACTTGAACAAGTTCCACCTTTGCATGAACTCAGTAAGCTGATTATGCTTAAGAAGCTTTCTCTCCCCGCCATGTGCAGAAATGGATTCAAGAACTTCAAGAGCACTAGAAATACTGAAGTTCAGCGATGTCAACAATACATTTCTCCTAGCAGCATCCTTCTGCACAAATGACAACGAAGAAACCTCTGAAAACGGCCCAAATGGTGTTTGCCCGACACTCCATGTATAGTCTACTAGAGTACTGTTGTGTCTTGGGCTCCAGACTAAATGTGTTGGTGAGACTCCCCACATGCTCTGTAAGATGGAACCTACAATGGGCCTCTCTAATTCACGAGTCTGGGTAAACACATGACGCCCATTACAGCTATAATCACTCACAGTCTGTGTACTCTTTGTCCTGACTGCTATAACCATATCCTTAAAAGCCACAGACTGATGATAACGATCAAGCATCAGAATCGAACTGACATCCAAATCAAAAACATAAACCGGAAGTATCCTTCCACCAAAGTCCTCCTCAGGAACCTTAGCAATCCGCCTAAACTCAGCAGCCGATTCAGACAATGTCTGGTGTAAACGCTTAGAGTCCAGGTATTCACTGACAATCAGTGTATAGTTATCAAACAGGTACCTAGAAGTATATGAGGTAGCTGCCCTTGAAATGGCAAACGAACAAATAGGACACTCTGCTAAATTCACTTCATACTTCTTAAATCTCAAAGATTGATCTCCAAACAGCAACCCATTCTCATTTACTTCATCCATAAAATTCCTCTCTATCAACTTCCAATCTAACCCAACGCTATCCTTGTTATCCGAAGAAGCATATATGTGTATAAACTCAACAATCAAAGAATTCTCAAACGGGATAGGGATTCGCAAAGAGGGCACGAGAAGAACCTGATAAGCACTCCAAACCAGTGAGGCCAAATCCGAAAGCAGTGCCTTTTGGGACTTGGGTCGGCCGTGCAATGTAGCAAATGGATGAAACTCGCCACGAGGAAGTACACCATCGCCGGACAACGCCGGGCCATAATCAACCGGACCGGCCCCCAAATCAATCCACAAATATCGTTCTTTTCCGGTCCACACAGTGCCCAAACACTTGGTGAAAGCAGGGGATGGATCACCAGGTGTATAGCTATAAGCATAGGGTTTCGATTGGGAGCCCAAATTGAGAATATATATGTAAATCCCACTAATGGGTTTCTCTTTTTCAAAATCTTGTTTGATAATTTCATCAACTATCGAGTGAGGGACAGAAGCAAGCACGGATCTGAAAGAGGAAGGTACAGAGGCGAGATGGGTCTTGAGGATTTCAGAGAGACGTGAAGACAGAGAGGAAGGAGAAAGAGTCACATCAAGATGAAGTGAATGGGATATAGAGAGGTGATGAGATGGTTGAAAAGAGAAAGGGGTGATGACGTGGAACTGATCGGAAGAAATTGCCGATGTGAGAAATGAAGAAAGCTGAGATTTGGCAGAAGAAGAGAAGTTGCTACCAACAAGCTTGACAGTGATGGGGACGGAAACTTGTAGGGTGAGGAGAGAAGAAGGGATGGGTGGGTGATGTATGGAGGGTTGAGAGAGATGCTTCTTCAGAGAAGAAGGAAGAGAGAGGAATGAATCGTTTGTGGCTGTCGGGTCAACCCGAGATTGTTGGTTGAGGAAGGAGTCTAATCCCAGGATTGGGGCGGAGATGGTGGCGATGATGAAGAGTTGAAGGAGGAGAAAGAGGAGAACGCCGGCGACGACGGTGGCCGGAGGCATTTCGGAGTTTTGGGAATCCGGGATATAGGGTTTGGGGTTTGGGCAAAATACGATGTTGGTTCAGTTGACGGAATTGGAAGTGAAGGACTGAGGGCACCAGCTGCGGAAGCTAGTCAATTACTTGATTATTATTTTTAATTTATTTTGGAGGGGGAAAACATAATCCCTTTGTAAAAATAGTCAAAAATAATTGCTCCGTCCGTCCAACAATAGTTACTATTTTGGATGTTCAATAATACTTGTTCACTTTATAAAATCAACGAAAAAGGGTCAAAACTACCCTTAAACTATCTGAAATAGCTTAAATATACCCTTAAACTATATTTCAGCTCAAAAATACCCTTCCTATCAATCTATTGCGCCACGCCTACCCTTCTAGTTAACGGAAGTATTCATGTGTATGTTAAATGTCACATGGATGCCACATGTACACGCCAAATGGACCTCACCTCCACATAGACGACTACAGTAAAAGGTCAAAACTACTTTTAAACTATTCGAAATAGCTTAAATATACTCTTAAACTATATTTCGGCTCAAAAATGTCTTTCCCGTCTAACTATTGGACTACATTTGCCCTTTTGCTTAACAAAAACATTCATGTGTGTGCTAAAATGCCACGACTCCACATGTGCACGCCAAACACACCCCACCTTCACATAGATGACTTATAGCCTTAATTTCACTCATTTTCCCTCATTTCATCTTGAAAAGTATATATTGAACCAAAAAAAGAAAAAACATTTGCGGAAACTTGTATACGTAACCGAATGAAGTAGAGAAATTGCAATTTGATGATCATTTCAAATATAATAAAAGAAATGGTCTAAGGTATAATATAAACACACTCATTTTAATTAATCAATTAACACTAATTTATTATTTTAATTTCTCTTTATAAATAAATTTTGTTTAAACAAACCTTAGCGAAGCTTTCTTGTTAATTCAACTCACGGCCATGGCGCAAAACAGCACATGTCATAAGAGACCTAATATACTTATCACTGGAACTCCAGGCACAAGGAAGACGACTACGACAGCCTCCCTAGGGGTGGTGATCGAGCTCCGCCACATCAACGTCGGCGATTTCGCTAATGAGGAAAACTTGATGAACGACTGGGATGACACCTTCAATTGCTACTACATCAACGAAGACCTACTAAGTCTTTATAGATTCCTTAATTTTATTTTATTTTATTAATTACCCTATTTTTGTTCAAGTTTTAAGCTTTTGTGGTCCCTTATCTAGAAGATGCTCTAAATGATTGTTAAGGAAATTTTAGATTTTGTGAAAAGTTAAAGAAATATTCGATATATAGATGATTTAAGGATTTGATAGCAAAATTAATTTGAATTTTGTTTAAGTTATCTTCAAAGTATAACATATTAGTATCGGAATAAAATGAAACTGAATTGAGTCAATGTATATTGTATATTCATATAGATATACCGAAATAAGGAAAGGATGAAATGAGTGGAAAAAAGTGAAATTCGGGCTTTAAGTTGTCTATGTGGAGGTGGGGCGTGTTTGGCGTGCACATGTGGAGTTCATGTGGCATTTTAGCGCACACATGAATGTTTTTGTTAAACAGAAGGGCAAGTATGGTCCAATAGTTAGACGTGAAGGGCATTTTTGAGCTGAAATATAGTTTAAGGATATATTTAAGCAATTTCAAATAATTTAAGAATAGTTTTGACCCTTTTCCGTAGTCATCTTTTGTGGAGGTGGATATGTTTGGCGTGCACATATAATATAACGTCTAGGGGTGGGCATAAATATCGAAAAACCGAACCGAACCGAAAAAATTTGGTTCTTCGGTGTTTCGGTTCGGTGTCGATTTTTTTTTTCCGGAACTTCGGTTCTTCGATTTGGAGTAAGGTGTAAAGGTCCCGAAACTATGGTGCACCGAAGAATCGAAGTTTTATTAAATAAATTTAAAAGTATTTATTATATTACTTAATTTTTAACTTTACTTGGCCCATTTCAATTTTTATATTTAGATCCTAAACTTAAATAGCAAAAATCTTAATAACAAAATAGTAAACCCTAAAGACCTAAAGTCTAAACTAAACAAAACTCAATTTAATTCAGGTTTGAGCAACAACTTGGTGTTTCTACTTTCTATTTTTTTTTATCATTTTATGTTGTTACTTTGAAGTGAGAACAACAAATTGATGTTCTTACCTTTTATTGTTAGACAGTTAGTTGTTACTTTGAAGTTTGAAGTGTGAAGTGAATAACAATTGTTACTTTATTATATTCTCTCTTTATTTTTGTTGACACCCGAAAAATCAATTTTAAAACACCGAACTAAACTGAACCGCACCGATCTAGTTTGGTTTGAAATATGGTGCACACTTTTCTAAAACCAAATACCGAAGAACCGAACGCCCACCCCTAATAGCGTCCATGTGACATTTTACACACATAGTACTTCCTTTAACTAGAAGGATTGGTGCGGTCCAAACTCACAGTCTTTCATTTTTCATAAGCAGGCAAACAAGAACCTCAACTTTGAACCAATTACATTCATTGAAATTCTTGCCGCTTTTAACACTCAGGTAATTCATCTTCATTCTTCACATATGAATGTTCAATCAATGGTTATGTCTTTGGAGTACTAGTTTTCGATTTCTTTGGGGATCTTGATTTATTGGTTCGATTTCACAGCATCTGATTCTCTAAATGAAAACTTTAGATTCTTGTGTCTAAACTTTAGGGATTTATTGTTCTTGAATTGTATTTTGTGGATTTAGGCGGTGAGGATGTCGACGCCGGCGAGGAAAAGATTGATGAGGGATTTTAAGCGGTTACAGCAGGATCCGCCTGCTGGCATCAGTGGTGCCCCCTATGACAACAATATAATGCTTTGGAATGCTGTTATATTCGGGTATGCATGCCTATGGATTAAATCATTGAATTCGGCTACGATTGCTCTTGTACTTCTTTCTTTTTGACTTATGCACTTCCGTTTCTTGTTTCTTTTTCTTGGAATGCAGTCCTGATGACACACCTTGGGATGGAGGTGAGGAAATTCTTCTTCATTTACAATCTTTTTAAAATCTAAGATACGAATAGAAGCATATTTTTGACTCTTGAGCCCATCATATAAAACCTGAATGCATAGTTACACACCTCCTTGTACTTTACTTTGTGATTTCTGTGTTCTGCTTAAATTGCACTTTGAGACACTTGTGTATGTGGATGAATATCTTGTGTTGATACAATCACTGCCACTTGAGTAATGCATATGCTTTTCCAGTGAAGAAGGTTTCTAGGAATCTGTGTTTTGTGTTGCATGACCATTCTCCCACCATAATTAAGATTTGCTCTCTCTTTTTCATCCATGATTTTCCTCTTTCACTAAAATTGAGGATACGCAGGCAATAGGCATGTCTTGTTTGTATGGGCAAGAACCCTCAGATTTATAGCATGCCCTTCCACCCCAATTTTGACTAGTGAATTTCTGATTTGTATGCAGGTACGTTTAAGCTGACACTTCAATTTTCGGAGGATTACCCCAACAAGCCTCCAACGGTTCGATTTGTATCCAGGATGTTCCATCCGAATAGTAAGTAGCCTAAGTAACGTTGCATTATCTTTCTCTCCCACTCTTCACATAGTTCTAGTCCATAGAACAAGTAGAACTTTCAACTTTAAGCTTAGGTTGCTTGTTGCTTATTCAGTTTATCTTGTGGTGCCAAGACTAGTAGTATCGACAAGGAGTTATATCAACTCGGGGACCTTCTTAAATTAGTTATAGTGTTAGTATTGTGTCTCACACTGCGTGAACTGAGAAGGAAGCCAGCTTCCTAGTTTTTTTAATAGCCCACATAGGCCACACATTCTGCATCACCTGTCAATCCCCATTTTGAAATTCCTAGTAGCGCATTCTCTCCCTCTGTATCATCCTATCCTGCCCTTCACCAATAGGCCATTTGTATATCTGTGAAGAAATTCCTCAATCTTCTATTATTCCTAATCCTTTATTGCTAGTCTAAATTTTGTGCCATGTAGTCTGTCACCATGCCAACACTAGTGGAACTATTTTGCTCAGAGTTACACCACAGAGCCAGTCTATCTGAGACCTAATTCTCATGCCTATATATTAATAAAGAATGTAAACAAAGTGCCTTTCCCCTTCATTTATCTCTTAAACATATCAACGCCTATTCCCACCAGTTTCTATTGAACTCCTATCATTGTCTTCACAGAGCATTCTGCTCCTGGGAAAATCTTAATACCCAACAATACCGAACAGTGGACATATGTTATGTGGTTATATCAGATAATGAGTTTAGTAGTTTATTCCCCTTTCCCTTTAAAGACATATCAACTCTTACATCCACTCAACCTTTACAGAGGTCGTCTCAAATCCTTATCCTTGAATTTACCCTGATGTGATTGGTAATTTCATCGTTTCAGTTCTAATGAGTCTTTTGATGTGACACTTTCTTCAATGATTATGATATTTTGGTGATGGAAATGTTACAAGAATGTTTGTAATTACCATTGCATACAGAATCCTCTGTTTCTTGAAGTTATTTGTTTGAATATTTGTTTCTTGGGAGTTGTTGAATAAGAGAGAATTAGCCATATTCTGGTAGCTGCTTGGGTTGTGTGTTATTGAATATGCTCTGTGATTCATGTATTTGTAAAGTTGTGTATGTGTTAAGACCTACAGCTTAGTATTTCTTCCATCTTATACTAGATTAGGCCGGGTACTTAATTGATTTTTTTTTTGCACTGAATAAATTGGTCTCAAGATTTGATCTTGCCATTTTACATGCATAATGCAGTCCAAAGTATGCAAAATATAAAAAGCAATGGCCCATTGCACTTCTTGTACTCTCACCCTATGACTACATATTCTATCTCTTTTTAAATACATCTAAGCACATCCTTTTTTTGATAAGCAGTAACCTCTAAGCTTATACATTTTTCAAAGCATCAATTTAGTGGAGAAACTTATCAAAAATAAAATAAAATAGTGGAGATATCAATATAGGGAGCAAAATGCCTTGTAACAAAATGAAATAAATTCGGATAAAGAACAGTGGAAGTACATGGGAACTTTTAGCTGAAATTTTAGCAGATGTACTTGTGCCACACCCACGATACTCTTTTTCCTCAAACATCCTAGTTTTGCCGCACCAATTTTTCTTGTCTTTTATTTACACCTGGCAGTCCAAGCAATTGGAGCTCAGCACCTACACAATCGGAGCATTGTATCATTTTATGTTTAATTATTGGCTTATTGAGAGAATTGATCTAATGTGTGTGTATCAATTAGATTTATGCTCTGTTTATTTTTCATTTGTGCCTTTGTTCAGAAGTTAATTCAAGATCTCCCACATCATTCGAAATGGATATTTCTTGCCTTCTATATTAGCCTCGATTCAACTTTACACATAAAAAGGCTTGAATTCTACTTTGTGGCCCTTGTCGTGCGAAGTATAAATTTGAGTAATTTTTAGTTTTGCTGATTTCTCATATCACTGTTTATCTATCTATTGGTCAGTTTATGCCGATGGAAGTATTTGCTTAGACATACTGCAAAATCAGTGGAGTCCTATATACGATGTTGCTGCTATACTCACTTCAATCCAGGTATGTTGATATTGTTATTAAATGCATCATTGTGCCTCGTGCTTTGCAGAATTTTAAAGAAATGTAACATGGAAAATTTATTTCTTGGTGTATGTTTTTTTTTTTTATTATATGCCCCTTTCTTTTTTTACTGCCTTGTCTAGCTTTGTAGCTTTGTGTCCTTCTGTATTTCATATAATGCACTAATAGTTTACCACTAGTAAGACATGATATCTGTGTGATCAAGTAGCTCATTGTCCTGTACTCCTGTTGCTGTTAGTGGACACTTATTGAGTTATGCTTCCCTTTGCATTTCTCTGTTTGAACATGGATAGCGTACCCCGATGAGAACAGGAAATCTGTAATTTTGGATAAGTTAGGAATGGAGACTTCATTATTTGATTCAGTGAGATGATAAAATATTTCCGTAGATGCACATACTGTGTTTGATATCATTTTTTACGAGTGGTAAATTAACTAATTTAACAAATGAATAAAGTAACTAAACAAAGAACTATCCGACCTGTTGCTCTAAAGCAAACAGTTCAGGTCCTTGGTTCTTAAAACATTGAATATGTCTCTACTTGCTGGAGAGGCAAGTTTTTTTTCTGTTTTGTTAAATCTATTTGTTCAAGCAGTTCTTACTTTAACTTCGTTATCGTTCTGTCTATTTCACATTATGTTTCATCTAGGCGCTAACTTGGGAGTTTAAAACATCTTCTGTCACCGCCATCTTTGTATTGTGTTTCCATAGAAGTCCAGTTCAATTTTTTGGTCGGTAGAGTTTTCTACAGCATCTGAATCATATCATTTTTTTAATCAAGTAATTGAATTCTGGTTCTGTCTGGTGTGAGACTGGAGTCAAGTCAATTCATAAATGAAACTGAACTGAGAACGCATTAACTTTGGCATCCCCTAATGTTTGACTTTCTTGAAATGCAGTCTTTGCTCTGTGATCCAAACCCAAACTCGCCTGCTAATTCAGAAGCAGCTCGCATGTTTAGTGAGAACAAGCGTGAGTACAACAGGAAGGTGCGTGAGGTTGTTGAGCAGAGCTGGACGGCTGACTGACATCTTTCTGGCTGAGTCTGTTATGGGATATTTTTCTGGTAGGGTTGCCAGGTCAAAGCTGCAATGTTCTCCATGCTGTTGCTACATTAATAATAAATGTAGCATGAAATTGTCCTTTTATGTGCTGTTTAGAAACTCTGATTGTCTTTATCTTCATGTTCTGTTACTCTGATACAGTGTACATATTGATCACTTTGTATTTTAATTGTTGAAACTTTTTTATGTTGGTCATTATGAGACCTCCAATGGAAAATGGATAAATATCTGATATTTTTGTTTAGCAATGTTAATTGTGCATTATCATTCATTCGACTCAACAAAATAAATTCTTAGTAGAAGTGGGCTTTCAAACACCAACTAATGAGGAGATAGAGAAGTCAAAAATCTTGTGCCTGTCTGAGTTTCAATTTCAGGTTATGAGACATGTTGAAAAAAAGGTAGTGGAGAATCACTTAATATTGGATCTGAAGTGACACTCACAATATGGAACTTGGTCGGATGATTGATGTTGCAAGAACCAGTTTTGATTTTACAATATGCCAAAAAGTATCATGAAGAGACATACCAGTGTTTGCCTTTTTGAGCTTCTGAATTTCTATTGCTCTTATATTACTTGATTCCTAATCATGATATTTCCTATAGAGTTTTACAGGCGTGCCTCACTGCTTGTGTGGTTGACTAATCTGTTTCGACTGTATTGCTTACTAATGATGAGCCAGAGTTTGAGGTATTGCCTTTAGCCTGAAGTAATCTATGCTATCCCAATGAGATATTTTATTCTCTATTGTCTTCTTTTTGCAATTCCTATTCAATGATTTTATTTTACATGTTTAAAAAAATCTTCATGTTAGCTAGCAATTGCGTGTTTCTTTTTTTCAAGTTTAGGACAAGTGGATGATATGGTTCCTTCTTGTTGGACGTTATTATTATTATTAATTGCTGTCTGTTAACTTGGCTGCCAATTTCATGTGACTGAAAATCCTATATTACTAGAGAGTAGCTTTTACCTTGTATACAAATAAAGTCGGTGAAGGGTAACATTCTCGTGAAGTAGGCTTTTTTCCCGTTAGAAGATAAGTGCCGTCACTCCACTTGTTTTGCTTTAAGTTTGGAAATTAACAAACCGTCGGTGGCACGTACTCCTTGCAATTTGTAAATTCAACACGCTGCTCCATTCCTCTACATGTCAGCCATAACTTAACGAGTGACTCGACATAATATCTCCCGGGGGTTCATGCAACACAGTGATTGATAGACAATTATGAAATCTTATATTTAATTCCACTAGCAACAAAATATCAGGTGATTTTTTCTCATCTGTTAAATTTGAGTGGAGTATTATATTTGATGGAGTATTTGTGTTGGTGAGAAATAATAGGTTATGATGTATTGTTGTTTAATTAAAGATGGAAGAATCATTTACCATATGTTTAAGTTAAAAGAGTTTGAAGTGATCATCTAATGTTTATGTTTGTTGATGATGAGCACATGGGTGTTGAAGGGCCCTCCAACCCTATTGGTAAGTTGAGGAATAATGAGATGGACTCATTTTTTGTTTGGTTTACCTAATGAAGGAACCAAAGGGGATCGCAGCTTTAAATCATTACAAAGTGATTATTAATGGACGGGGATGCTCTTGTCTTTCCATTTTATTAAAAAATTGGAGGCTTCTTCTCTACATCCCTCTCATCGTATCTCCAATTAAATGACGCTGCTTCTCTAGGTGCAACACTTGCCCACTAAAATATCCTTTTTATAATATTGATTTGTCTTTTTTTGTGTGTGACATATCTGTCTAGATTTAGATATATATATGAAATATCAACAGTACCTCATCTTGTATATATTTATATTTATGAGATCAATGTGAGTGTCACTTCAGATATGGTTGGAGCTTCTGTTCTTGCTTCAGCACTTAAGGTGAATGGAGGCTTAGAAGAGTTGCAGATATGGGAAGACTCCATTGGCTCAAAGAGTGCAGAGGAGCTGTCCAAAATGATAGAAGTTAACTCAACATTGAGGCTACTCACCATTTTCGATTCCAAGTCTATTACTGCCACACCTTTGATTTCAGCAGTTCTTGCGAGGAACAGGTCAATGGAAGTGCATATTTGGAATGGAGAGAACAATGAGAAAACTTCAAAGGTGGTTGAGTTTGTACCTGAAAACAGCACCCTTCAGATATATCGCCTTAATGTCTCGGGTGCTTGTAGAGTTGCTTGTGCTTTAGGGATGAATTCGACTGTGAAGACACTCGATCTGACAGGAGTATGGTTGAAGTCCCGATGGGCAAAGGAATTCCGATGGGTTTTGGAACAGAATAGGACCCTCAAAGAGATAAATTTGTCAAACACTTGCTTGAAAGACAAAAGGAGTTGTTTATGTTGCAGCTGGCCTTTTCAAGAACCACAGCTTGCAGAAGCTGTATCTTAAAGGAAATTGGTTTGAAGGTGTTGGTGTAGAACATTTACTTTGCCCTTTGAGCCGGTTTTCTGCGCTGCAATATCCAGCAAATATCACTCTCAAATCACTTACTTTTGGAGGAAAAAGAAACAAAATTAGTAGGGATGGGCATGCAGCAATCCTGCAGATGTTGACAAGTAACGAAAGCCTTACCAGCTTCGGAATATATAATGATGAGAGTTTAAAACTGGATGACATAATCAGAATCTTTAGGAGTTTGGAGAAGAATGCTACATTAAGATGCATATCTTTACAAGGTTGTAAAGGGGTGGATGGTGAAGCAGTCCTCCAAACTATCATAGATATTGCAGGTAAATCCTTGGATTGAAGACATTGATATTTCAAAAACTTCATTGCACAATGCAGGGAAAACAGAAACGATATATCAGAGATTGGGTCAGAACAACAAGGCCGAACCGGAGATTGATTTGCTCAAAGACATGCCAATGACAGAGCCAAAGAGCTGTAGGGTCTTCCTCTGTGGGCAAGAATATGCTGGTGAGCCACTTAAACAATGTTAGTTTATCTACATCACTGATTAGCTACATTGATTGATTTGGTATGTTCTTCTTTTTTACTGCAGGAAAAACTACACTAAGCAATTCTATACATCAACACTTTTCTTCTCCGAAATTGCCGTATATTGATCAAGTGAGAGCTCTTGTAAACCCAATTGAGCTAGCTGTTCGACCTATAGGCATGAAGATAAAAACTTTCAAAGATGAAGATACAAAGATCTCAATTTGGAATCTTGCAGGGCAGCAAGAATTTTATGCCCTCCATGATCTAATGTTTCCAGGACATGGACGTGCCTCCATTTTCCTGATCATCTCCAGTTTGTTCAGGAAACCAAATAACTGGGAACAGAAAACCCCCGATGAAGTTGAAGAAGATCTGCAGTACTGGTTGAGGTTCATTGTTTCAAATTCAAAAAGAGCTCTTCAGCAGTGCATGCTGCCAAATGTAACTGTGGCGCTTACACACTATGACAAAATCAATCAATTATCACAGAACCTACAGCTTATTGTAGACTCAATCCGAAGGCTACGAGACAAATTTCAAGGCATTGTTGAATTCTACCCAACTGTATTTACAGTTGATGCAAGATCTTCTGCACTAGTAAGTAAGATTACCCATCACTTTCAAAAGACAAGCAAGACGGTTCTCCAAAGGGTTCCTAGAGTGTATGAGCTTGGCAACGATCTCATGCAAATTCTGTCAGACTGGAGATTGGAAAACCATAATAAGCCAGCAATAAAGTGGAAGGAGTTTGGTGATCTATGCCAAGTCAAGGCTCCATTGCTCAGGGTTCGTTCTAGACTTGATAATAAAGAGAAGGTGGAAACGAGGAGAAGGGCTGTTGCTACGTGCCTTCATCACATTGGCGAGGTGATTTATTTTGATGAACTAGGTTTCCTAATCCTAGATTGTGAATGGTTTTGTGGTGAAGTACTTGGTCAGCTTTTGAGATTAGATGTCAAAAAGCAGACTTCAGCTGGGGATGGATTCATAAGTAGAAAAGAGCTGGAAAAAGTTCTGAGAAGCAGTCTTTGATAGCCAGATTCCAGGGATGGGCTCAAGAGATTTTGAGAACTTGGATGCAAGTGATCTTGTGAGAATGATGCTGAAACTTGAATTATGCTATGAACAAGATCCTTCAAATACCAATTCTCTAATGTTGATACCCAGCTTTCTTGAAGAAGGTAAGGGGAAACAGCCAAAGTGGCCGATAAACTCAAGTGAATGCATTTATGCAGGAAAGCACCTTCAGTGTGATGATTCAAATCACATGTTTCTAACACCGGGATTCTTCCCCCGCTTACAGGCAAGACCTTCTTTTAGTTTTATGATCTATTCTATATTGCAGAATCATATGACTGTGCAAATGAAACAACATCCGTTTTGTTTTTATTTATTTATTTCATCATCTCGGATAAGAATATAGTTCACTATGTTTGTTTAGGTACATTTGCACAACAAAGTAATGGGGTTGAAATATCAATATGGTCTATGGAGCGACATACGGCCTTGAAAAGTACATCATTGCACTGAGCATCAATGGAATCTATGTCTGCGTAGAACTTGGGGGTCAATTAGGCAATTATGTTGATGTGCTTGCCTGTTCCACAAAGCACCTGACAGAAACTCTAAGGCTATTCCAGCAGCTTATAATACCAGCAATCCAGAGCCTTTGCCATGGGGTCACACTTACTGAAAACATTATTCCACCAGAATGTGTAAGAAATTTAATACCACCAAGGTACAGGAGAAACCAGATTCTGTCTCAACATTTGCTGGAATAGCCAAGGGTGTTGAAGAAGTCTTGCAGAGACTTACAATTATACAGCAAGAACTTAGGGATATAAAGCAAGAAATCCAAGGCCTCAGATACTACAAATACAGGCTTCTCATCGAGCTAAACTGCAAAGTGAACTATCTTGTGAACTTCAGTGTCCAAGTTGAAGAAAGAAAAGTGCCAAACATGTTCTACTTCGTAAGGACAGAGAACTACTCGAGGAGACTGATCACCACCATGATTTCAGGAATCAATTCTCTCTGGCTGCACATATTATGCGAGTATCGGGGAGAAATGCATGTGGTTGAAGATTAGATAGGTTGTGAATTAATGCAGGTTGATAACAGGGCAGTAAAATGCCTGTTTCCGTACATGACGAAGTTCATGAAATTGGTGACATTTGCTCTCAAGATTGGAGCTCATTTAGCAGTAGGCATGGGAGAAATCATACCAGATTTGAGTAGAGAAGTTGCACATCTACTCAAATCTCCCGCTGCATATAGTGCAGCAGGGGTTGCTGCTGCTGGTGTTGTTGGGGTTGCAGCAGCAGGACGTGTGGAGAGAAATAGGGGATCAAGGATCATCCAACAAGATCTTAATGCAGCACAGCAATGGGTTGTTGATTTTTTGAGAGATCAAAAGTGCTCTGGTGGAAGAGATATTGCTGAAAAGTTTGGATTATGGAGAGTTAGATACCGAGACAGTTGCCAGATTGCATGGGTCTTAAGGAGTTCAGGATAGTTGGTCCTGTAGCATATTTCCCTCTTTGATGTTGATCATTCTTAAATTGGCTTTGCCGAACGGTAATAGCTTGGTAGTTTTGATGTATAATGGCTCCCTGATCCCTGTTGGGAGAAATGTTCATCCTTGGCTAGTTGGCTTGTTCAAGTCGATGTTAATGGTTATGTCAGAGTTGACAAACTTAAATCTTCTTTGGATGGTATGCACCTAACTACGTGATTACTTCTAATTTACTCATTTTATTGCCTTTACAAAAAGTTTCCGTTTACTGTAATATGATTATTAATATCATCTTCGTGATGTTACCGCCTTGTATTTAGATTTACTGCTCATGATCCATAATTGCCTGCCAGGTATCATAATTGTTAACCTCCATTTTAGTGGGGCATAAACGAGTGTTTGATGTAATTCTTTTCAAATTCAACCGCACACCATCGGTGATCGGACAATATGAACTTTTAGAAATTTACAATAATACTTTATTTTATTTATATAATAAAATGGTTAACATAATTTTCATACACACTGGATAAAACATTTCTTATTTTCACAATATAATTTCATATAAAGTAAATAATCAGCAAGTAGAAAACCTTAAATTATTTTAGAAAATAAAATTTAAGAACAAGGCCTCAGAGATCTTGGTGGATAAGGAATCATCAGATGGAAATTAAATAAATTCCCATCAAGAGTAGCAAATATTTAATTACATCACTGGCCATTTATTTTCAAAATCTCAATTCCAAATCGGCAAACAAAAACACATAAATTAAACAAAGAGAAAAATGAAAAAAGAAAAATTATGATGTGAAGTCAGAAGTAGCTGGTTGTAGTAATCACAGATCAACATCAGTGGGAATCCGAATGATTTCTTCATCATCCTTACACACCATAACTCAATAAAACAAATTATTTGAAGAAAAATGTATCTAACTTGTCACCATAAAACCCTAAAAAACAAGAGAGATTTGAAGTATGCATTGTTTCCATATTGCCTAATGCTATCCATGTTCTTACGATCAAGGAATTGCAATACTAGGCGTATAGTGATTTAAAAACAAAATAACAAAACACAAACATCAATAAACATCAATCACGAGAAAGATCACAGGAAAATTGAAAAAATAAAGCTTTGTTGTTGCGGCAGAGAAGGGAAGAGAATAGCAGAGTTATGTTTGAAGATGGGATTTTCAGCTGTATTAATAGGAAGCAAGAAACTCTAGGGTTTTATGTAAGTGTGATGGTTTAATGGGCTTGATTGTCATGGCCCATTAAAGGACATTGGGCCGACGATTCCTACTCTAGTAACAGGTATATTCGGCCGCCCACTAATGGGCTGTGTTTATTCTACTTTTTCTTATACAACTTTTATACACAAATTTTGATAAAGAGACAAATGTTGTTCATCGATGGGTAATATAATCAAGGGAAAATTATGTGATTAAGCAAATTTATACTACTTAATTAGTCATAATAGCTATAATTTGCTATAAATATCACTCACTACTAATGTTAACCATTAATTACGTGGGTTGACATCGAGTTTGTATAATTAGTCATGTTTGTATAATTCGTCATATTTGTGTAATTCAAATATTGTATAATATAATTTATATAATGTAATTTGTATAGTATAATTTGTATAACTGTTTAAAGTTCATATGCTTATGTTTGTATCAATTCGTTATTTCGAGTTTTATCTTATTTGTATAATTTCAGCCTTTATATTACTCAATTATACAAACATACCCCCGAATTATACAAACGAGATGCTAATTATACAAATTATTGCCCTCTCCCAATCTCGCTTTCATCTCTCCTCTATCTCCCAATCTCGCTCGCCAAGTATACAAATGCATATGTATATTAGTTACATATATACAATTTTCTAACCGATATACATATACAGTTCACCTCTCTCCCATTCTCTTCCCTCTCTTGCTCGCCTCTCTCATCCCTCTCCCAATCTCACTCGCCACTCTCCTTTCTATAGGATGTAACTACGAATCGTAATTTAAAACTATATCTATAAAGCATAATTAAGTTATTTTTGAGTGGTTATATGTGAAAGTTCTCCCATAATCAAATTCTTACATGATTGGGCTCACATAGCCTAGTTTGGCCTCAAAAACATTATCCCTTATATATTAAAATTCAGGATTTTTATGTTTAATTAATAAATAAGGTATCCACAGGTAAACTTCACAGTATTCCTGATAAGTAAATCTCGTCTCATGATCAAACTTACCAATGGTATTTTTGAACTACGAGTTTAATAGAAATCATGGTGTTTTTGTTCCATTTTTACATATGTACTGAATTACCATATTTCGAATAAATTTAAACTCATAATTTTAAAAGTACAATAAATTTAGCTTTAACCGCTAAGTACTTTAAAGATCGAACCAATCAAATTCCGATATTTTTTAGCCGGCTGGACACTCCTCATAAATGTCCTATGAATACAAGGTAGTAGAAGTTTTTAATATATGAAAGTAGCTAGCTGGCTTGGAGGGACTTTACTACTTGTCAATTGTACTCTAAATTCAATCTCTACCTTAAATTGGTACCATATATAACTTGTGTCCTGTAATTTAAATTGTCCATGCATGTTATGTGTCTACACTCTTTACGTAAAAAGTAATTCATTTATTAATTTTATACAATATTTGATTGGTAAGTTTTTAAACATTGTATAAAAGTTATTTATTTATATATTAATTTAATATAATATTTACTTGGTAGCTTTTCAAATATTGTATACAAATTATTCATGTATTAATTTTATATCGTATTTGGTTGCGTTTTTTAATAATCCCAAGTAATTAATACTTGTATAACTTATGAGGAAATCTATGTATAATTTATGCGGGATAGAAGGTGGAATAAGTTATGAATGTATTAGTTATGCATATATTAAAATAGTAAATTACATATTTACCCCTATCAATTTACTTTTATACATATATATTAATTTACAACAAATCAACTAATTAATACATGGAAAAAAAACCACTATGCATTTTTTTTGTTTTGGGTATTTTGTCTTCCTATGGCTTAATTACTTTCTGTTTCTTTGCTTAAATTTTTGTTAACTGTTTTCCTTTGTGGTAAAGCAGTGTCTATTAATTGTGATTAATTTCTTCGCATGGTTTCTCTACCAAGCGCTGTCACTATAAATTTTAATTATTTTAGTTTTTTTTATAAATTACCCTTTACTTAATTACTTAATCATATTGAATACAAATTAGTTAATTACTTTTACTATTTGTTATTTACTTTATTGTTTTTAGCTATTGATATTTATTTAATTTTAATGTGTTATTTATAGAGTTGGTTATTTTAATGATTATAATAAATATTAGCTTACTAATTACTTTTTGAAATTAAGAAATAAAAATTAGATCACTAATGTATTGTAATCTCTACATAACTAAACCTTGCAAGTTGCATAACTAAAACCTACATAACTAATACTTGTATAACTAAATCTTGCATAACTTAATCCTGCATAACTAATACATGCATAACTAAACCCTGCATAACCAATATATGTATAACGTAATTCATACATGTATAACTAATACGTACGTAACTAATACTTACATTACTAATATCTGCATAACTCTATCCAGCTACCAAACGACGAAGTTCAAAAAAGTTGGTCCGATAGTATATCCCTCTTTGATGTTGATGCCAATGTCATTTTCTTAAATTGGCTTGCCGAATGGAAATAACTTGGTAATTTTGATATAAAATGGTTCCCTGACCCCTGTTGGGACAAATGTTCGTCCTTTCACTTGTTGTGTGATTATTCGAGATGGTATGCACCTGGTTGTTTTGAATGGCTCATGATACGTAACTATCGTGTGTAAACAAAGTTTCACATTGGTCGATAAAAAGGAAAAAAGAAGCAATTGGATACTCCTAATCGTGTGAGGTCTTTTGCAGAATAGACATCCAAACAACTTGATTTAACAACAGACAATTATTGTGTACTATTTGTGTGTGAATTCACATAAACAAGGATCCATTATAGCTGCAGTAAGTATCAGGAGAAGTACAAGTAGAGGAATAAAATGGACACTATTTGGTTAATTATTTGTGTTGAAATTATGGACATCCTGCAACTTGTAGTATGAGTGAAATGTCAAAGGAATGAGAAATTGTAGTCCAATTATGGGCAGTTTAACAGGTATATATGGCCATAATATTGGCCCACTAATGGGCTACAAATCTCCCCTCAGGTTTGTCTTTATTATTTTTTTCTTATACAACTTTTATAACATACAAAGATACAAAATGAGAAAGAGACAAATGATGTTCATCGATTGGTAATTTATCAATTATTCTTACATTATTGGGCTCACACAGCCTAGTTTTTGTGGTGGAATTCCCCTTCAAACCTTGGCCTCAAAAACATTATCACTTATATATAACTTTACATTATTCCTGCTATATTTATACATGAAATTTAGGATTTTTATGTTTAATGGGAAAATTATACAAATCGAACCCATTAGGTAAAATATTTACTCAAATTGGATCAAAACCAATATATTTATTATGATTGAACCCACATCCCAAACCCAATTGCTTCCTTGTTCTATTAACTGAACCACTACTTCTTCATCCTTGATACTATTGGAGTATACTTTGAATGTATCAAATAGTAATTGAACTATCTTTTCATTGAAACACTATGTGTTCCTCCATGATGCCATCCAGTGGCGGAGGCAGGAATTCTATCAAGGGGGTTCAAATAAAAAAAATGTTGTTGCCTGGAATCGAACCCGTGACCCAAAGCTCACATAGGCGAAATCCTGACCCCCATAAACCATTGAGCTACTCCTTTGACATATGCTTAGGGGGTTCAATTTTAAATATATACACGTACACAAAAAAATTGATCTTATATATATAGTGTAATTTTTTTTCCAGGGGGGTCACTATAGATCCGCCCCTGATGCCATCATAGTATATATATACTCTAATGATATCAAGGAGTAACTGAGTAGTGTTTTCACTAAAGCATTGTTTCTTCCTCTTTGATACCATCAGAGTATATATATATTTTGATGGTATCAAGCTGTAAACGCGCAGTAGTAGTTAAAACACAAGGGGTATGAAAGTAAGGAGGTAACCACTTGTAAAGAGTTTTCTTTTTTGGGTACAAGTGTTCTTTTCCTTTTAATTAAAACATAATAACAATTATGACCAACAAGCTAACTAATACTCCCTTTGTTTCTATTTATATGTCTCCCTTACTAAAAATAAATGATCTTTAGTATTTGTCATTTAATAAAATTAATGTATAAATGACACTATTTTTCCTATTTTACCCTTGAGAGTTATTAACTTTGAAAGTATGGATTTGATCCACATAGGTAAACTAAATGATTAATTCATGTTCATTGGTCAATTTAATTAATCAAAATAAATTAATTTATGTTCATTTATTGAAAACTTGACTTCAAGACAATACTAAATAAGAGTACAATGATAAATTCACATAATTTCTTAAGAAACATAAAATCTAAAATAATGACATATAAATAGGAACGGAGGAAACAGTAAATCTCATCTTATAATCAAACTTATCTATAGTATTTTTGTTCTATATCTACCGATGTAATGTATTGTGATATTTCAAAAAAAAAAATATACTAGATTTTAAATTCATAACTTAACCAACATGGGTTGTGGTGCATTGGTGGGAGTGCTTCACCCTTAACCAGAAGTCTCGGGTACGAGCCCTGGATATGGAGAAAATTCTGTTGGGAGCGTCACCCTCGAATGGATCCTACAGTGCATGATCTAAATTTAATCGGAACTCCAATATAGACTCCGAACATCAAATGAGAAACCAAAAAAAATAAAATTTCATAACTTAAAAGTACAATAAATTGTGTTAATTATTAAGTACTTTAAAGGTCGAACCCATCAAATTCCAAATTTTCTTAGCCGCCTGGACACTCATAAAAGTCCTATGAATATAAGGTAGTAGAAGTTTTTAATGTGAGCTAACTTTATATGAAGGTAGATAGCTGGCTTGGTGGGACTTAAACATAAGGAAGGATACAGCAAGATAGTCCACTTAAATTGTTACTTCTCTGTTCCATTTTACGTGATACTTTTTGAATTTTGAGATTTAAATAAATTTATTTTTAATTGTAAGTTTTTCATAAATCTTATTATTGTTACTTATAATACTTTTTACGTAATTTACAAATATATAAATTCAATTTCAAAAAATTTGAAGATTTCATACGTAAATTGCCGATCAAACATAAACTATTTGACTTTCGAAAAATAAAAAGTGCCACATAAATGAGGACAAATGGAGTATTATGTGTAAATAACTTGTGTCCTTGTAATTTATATTGTCCATACATGTTATGTGTCTACCTTCTAAAAAGACAGATCATCTTACATATTTCATCAAATTAAATTCTTGAAACTAACTTTTAGAATTGAATTTATAAATCAATTTTTTTTTTAAAAAAAATGACATCTCTTTGTATTTTATATTTACCAATCTCCCACATCTACACAAAGATTTCTTATCCCATGGTACACTCACAAATAAGTTTTTTTCTTCAATTTTTTTTCCATTGATTATACTTTAATTGAAGAATGAGACTTTAAGAATTGAACTTACCCTTATTATTGGTGTATGTAAGAGACTTTGTGTACTTATTAAATTGTACCTCTTGGTAGGCGTGTATATTCTTCCTATTAATTAGAGCTTAATGAAACTTCATGAATAGAGTACGCATTATTCCTTTAGCTTTAATTTATATGACATAATGAGATATGAAATTTAAGATGGAAAGTAAATTTTTGAAATTCCTTCTTTAATGTATGGCTATATGAAACTCCCACCTTCTTATATTAGATATTACATTTTATTCATTATAGGTTTTTAAAGAAATCATAAATAAAAATTCGCCAATATCTCAAAGCTTTGAGACTCATTTTGGTAGGTATTACATTTTTTATTATGGGGTTTTAAAGAAATCATAAACAAAAAAATCGTCAATATCTCAAAGCTTCGATTGAAACAAGGAGGGAGTCTTACCAACTTCTATATTCTATTTTAGAAAACAATGTTGATTTGTTTCCCTTCTAACATAATTTTCATTTTTAGTGATCAGTTTTAACATATCAAAAATGACAATTACTCTCCCCGTCCAATAATACTTGTCCACTATACTAAAAATAGATGTCCAACAATACTTGTCCACCTTATGAAATCTATGAATAGTTTTATACTTAGTTTCTAATTACCTTATCATTAATTATAGTCACTTTCCCATTACATTTTTTAAGATATTGTATTTATTATATTCAAATAGTGATATAGTAAAATTATCCTTCTATTTATAGTTTCTTAAGGGGTGTGTAAGTCAATAATTGACAACTATTATTGTACAGAGGGGGTATTTTTTCTCATGTTTTATTGTTAGTACTAATTATGTATTTGTCATATCATTTTTCAATACTTAATTTTGAACATCAATTACTATATTATTACTTATTTCATAAATTATTTTTCAACACCTAAAATAAACACTAGTTAATATTAATAGTGTGATAAAATAATTATGTTAATTTTTTTTAATAGTTAAGTTAAATTTAAATATGACAAGTAAAAATAAATTAAAAAAATACTACTTATTTCTTAGAAAAAAAATTGCTTAACCAAGTGAAACTGAACACAGTAAAAGTAAAAGTGAACGGAGAGTATTTTAATTTGGAGCCCACATTTGCACAAATAAAATTGGAGATGGCATACACATTGTCCTATTGCAGCAGATTCATCACTTTCTCAAAGTTCTAACATTAAAATTCTATTACTTCCTCTCTCTCTTTCTCATCTCACATTCATTACCCAAATCACAGCTACAGCTACTGTCCCTCTCAGTTCTGTCTTCATTTATTACGCTATTTTCTGTCCGTTTGGAATCTTTTTCCTCTCTCTTATCCTTCCTTTTCTCAGTTCCACTCTCAGTCTCACGTCTTATATCTCTTCAACACCACTACTAAGAATATCCATTTTTCTCTGTATTCCCCTGTTCCTCCTCAATTTCAACATTTTCATGCAATAAAAACAATTTCTTCTTTATTTTTTTTAAGTTAGAAAGTTTTGAAATGCTTATTCAAGCTGGTACTCATGCAAATTGTCTGATGTAATTCTAATTAAATGGGTCGAGAAAAAATATTTTTGTGGCTGATTTTGCATTTTTGTATTTTCGTCGTTTTGAGTAACGGAGTTCGATGCGATGGCTCAGAGGTTACTTTGAAGTTATTGACTACTCCGCGTGAATTCACAAACCGGAATTTTGCGAATTTTGCTTTTCAAGTTTTGGCCGGTGGTAATGGTGACATTTGTGCGGATTGTTCAACTAGTTGTAAGGTCAGTTTAGAACACTTTTCAACAGTCGTCTACGTGTCATTGAGTTATGAATGTGGATTGTCCTTGAATTTGCATGTTGAGAGTTTTGAGCATTTTGAGATTATTCATGTTCTCAGGCTTTAGGATCAAGGCATATGAGAATGACCGTAAAAGAGACGGATTTAGAATTTGAAGTTTATACAATAATTTCAACTTTTGAAAAAAAATTAACGGATCCTTGAAAAAGGATGCTTAGAAAACTTTAGCAAGTTTCATTTCTACAACTGGACCAAGAGAATACTTTGTTAATGTGTTCCCAACAAATATTAGATTTCTTTTCTCAATGTAAATATAAGATCTGTTCCAATAAAGGAATTAGCTTATTGTTTCTTACTTCACTCACTCTCAAAAGCAAGGGATCACTAATATAAGGAATCCCCTAATTTTGGTTAATTTTATTCAAAGTTTGGAGATATTTAACTATATAGGATTTGGAGCTATTTTCACAATTCACTTAAAGACACAAGCACAGGAGAACTCATGTTCAACATCATCAGTAATCTATGTCGCATACCTTGATGTGTAGTAAATACGTGGTCAATGTGAACATGAACTTTACCATCTTAGCTTGACGAGAAAGAAAGAAAGAGAAGAGAAGAGAAGGGGTTCAGTAAACCAGTGTTATTATTGTGTCTAAGATGAGGATCAGTCAGCTCAGAGAAACCATATTTATGCTGCCTCTTCTCAGCAGACTTCTATCTATCCATTCTTTCAGTCCTTTAATTAAATTTATAACATTTAATGATAAGCCTCTGCAATGCCATAAATGAGGCATCTTGTTTCCCTGGAAGCATAAAATTTTCCTGGTGATGTAGCGAAGGATTATACGAAAAAGCCATCTTACAATGATAAACGTAAGGGCTAGCTAAAGGTGTCCCTCGGTCCCTTGACATTATGCATGCCTCATCTTTTACAATTTTACCATGCATTAGGCAAAGCCAACTAATTCATCTGGAAAAAAAGTTATCTTTGTAGTACATGAATGTTAACATCATTCTCCCTATGTTCATCCAGAATTTATCTTTATGTGATTTGGAAGAAATATTTGTGTAATCACATCCATAGAATATTTGGAAAGTACGCAGTCAGTAAAGCACAGATTTTGAGAGATATCTACTCCGTAGCCTTAGGATCCATTTTCCTATTGAAGATTGTTCTATATTTATTGAGATTCAGTTTTAATTTTCTCCTCTTGGTAATTTTTCAGATCATTTAGTTTTACATTTTGTTACACAGCACTAATTAATTCTACATTTACTGTTATTGTAGTTGGATGATTATGTGCCTGCAGTTTGTGAAGGTGGAGAAGTTTCTTACACACGGTTGCTTGATGGAAATCATACTTTTGAAGTTTGCACCAATGGATCTCTTGGAGTTGGATGTGCTCACTATAACTGGACTGTTGGTAGCACTCAACCTTTCTTCCCTTTCATGGTCTTGGTTGTACACTAGTAGTTTGTGATACTTAAATGATGACATTTGTGGGCACACAAAAGTACCATTCTATTCTATGGTGTATTTCTGAGTTCTCTCTTGAAGGCTTAAGTTTTTTTTGTTGCTTCTGAGCCTTCTTTGTCCAAGATAGTTAGCTATTACTTACGTTATGGATAAATCACCAAATATGGAGAGAACCTAATCAGGGGAGCTCTGGATCTTACTTATTAATCAGATAGGTTTGGAACCTTCCCCTTAATATATAGTAATAAAAGTATGATAATGTTACATTTTAAACTTTTTAGTCACCCTACTATATTTTTGACCTTTAGGTTGCAGTTGTCTTCCAAATTATAGACAGGTTGCAAATAAACTTGGTCTTTTTAAGCTTGATATGTATTCATGTCGGTTACTCTAGTCTAGTTGTAACAACCAGTAAAGTTTAAATTCAGTTATGTTTCTCTCTTCCTGATTTCATGTGCCTTCTCTTCTGCAGACACTATCCCCCCTACAGCCTACATTACCACTCCAACATCTTTTACAAATGCTTCCAATGTTTCAGTGGACATAACTTTCACTGAGCCATGTTGGAGCCAAGGTGGTTTCGGATGTGCTTCCACGAATTCCTGCAATGTAAGTAGATGAAAAGCTAAATGCTGGCAACAGATGGTTTTCCACCATCCCGGACTTAGTTATCCTTTTTAATTGGGAAGTGCTTTGTATGACGGCTTGAGTTTTTGCTTTGACCCTTCTGCATAAGTGAAGTTCAGGAAGAATTAATGTTTGTGTTTCCAAATATGATGTCTAAGAATCTTTCCTTCAAAGATTTTGACCTTTCAAATCCAAGTGAAGTCTGAGATAGATATATTGTTGGCTGAACTTCACCAATGCATTCTCAAATTGTCCTTGTATTGAGAGAGTGGTGTAGGAGCTCTAGAGTTCTTGGGAATTCCTTTTCATTATCTCTTCAGCTCATAGTTATCAATTGTGTTCTCTTTGCATGCAGCTTCTCGTTTATGGAGCTGGACAGGTCGTGCCAAACACACTCAATGTTATTGAGCCAGACCTAAAGTTTTCTGTTGTCGTGAGTCTGTCTACACGTGATCAGTATGGAAGAGTGATCTTGGTAATGGATAAAAACTTCTGTTCGGACCCTGCTGGAAACAAATTTAGAAGGACGGACAATTCAAGTTTATTTATACATTTTGGTGAGCAGTTGCCTTACCATGGTCATGTTCATATCAGTTCTATCGTCTGTTCTAATTAGATGTTTTCAGAGTTATATTTAGGCCTTCCCATTTGATTCAAAGACATGCCTATCTTTCTGTGACAATCGAATAAAATTCTCATAATGTGAAACCTTCATGAGAATTTACTAGAGAAACCAGTCCAATCGTAGAAAGATAATTGTTTAACAATCAAGACTTAAATAAACTAAGTTCAATCTCTTTGATACTGGATTCAATAGATAGAAGGACAGTGTTCGCTGACATAAGGACTCGTATACCTGAAAGGCTACTTCAAATTGACAGTGAAACGAGAACCGTGCGAGCAACAAATAGTACTGAAAACATGGAGGTGTATTTGTACTTTAATGAACCAATTTCCAACTCATCTACGGAAATTTTGAATTCCCTGAGCATAAGTCAGGGATTGCTTACTCCCATTAGTGGAAATAGCTTTGGAGAACGTAGATTTGGATTTCAGGTTAGTTCTTCCCTAAGTTTATTGTACTTTATATTCTATTGCAGTACTTACAAATATCATTAAATCTTTTCGGCACATTTCCAGGTTAGAGGTATATCACAGACAGCCATAGTGACATTGAGCGTAAGATCAGACTTAATATTGAGCTGGCAGGGAACCTCCATTGCTCCTGTAGCTCCTGTTACTTTTCTATACGGTATGTTTGACTGCCTGTTAGAAACTTATTAAAGAATACACATCTAAATTAAGAAAGGAGCGTCTCCACTGCTCACCTGCTGTATTGACATGTAGATGATATTTAATTGTCCTGATGATTTATGATATGCCAGTTATTTAATTTCTCCAAAATATAATTGTTTATTGGTCGGTCCTTCAGATATGCAACGGCCTGCTGTCAGGTTGAGCACAACATCTAGGATGAGGACCTGTGACGAGCAAATTCCTGTACTGATAAAGTTCGTTAAGCCAGTGTTTGGCTTTAATAGTTCTCATGTATCCATCTCTGGAGGGCAGTTGCAGAGGTTAGTATCTCCACTTATGCCAATCTTCCTGGATGAAAATATTTTCCTGTTAAGTCACAAAGAATAACTCATTACTATCGTGTACTAGTCATGGCTCATTGAGTTCGTGTTTCTTATGTATTTCCAGCTTTCAAGAAATGAGTAGAAGCATGTACACTGTCAATATACAAGCCAGAGATGATTTTGTTTCTGTGAGCATCCCTGAAAATGTAACTGGTGATGTTGCTGGAAACATGAACCTACAATCTAATATTCTCCGGCTCAAGCACTGTAATATTCTATATTTCTGCTCAAGCTGACTTTCTCTTGCTTTAGAGATACTTTAATTGCTCAAGTATACAATCAATCTCCTTTTAATCTTTTACAGATACTGTACCGGTAATATCTGAAGTGCTTTCCATCTTGGCAACTTCTGCTTTCGTGGTTACGTCTTTTGCAGCAGGGCTCCTCACAGTTTCAACCGCAAGCCTCCAATCTGTTGGTGCATACTCAAGACCAAGCTCTTTAATGACATCTGATCCTGCTAGAAATCTTTTTGTAAATATCCTTTCTTTAACAACTTTATGTTAGACTTGATGACTGTCATGCAATACAGTTTGCATTCCATGTGGGTACTGCTTTGGTCATTAGATACACGAGGCAGGATATGAATTTTAGAACTCTTAAGTCTCTTAGTGAAGGTCATGAAGTTGTTTGGCAGAGGAAACAAGTTGTTCCCTCCTTATATAATTTTGGATAATCCTACTTTGTGAGCTAACTTTTGGGGTTTAGTTAGGCCCAAGGTCTATTTCTTAACACGGTATCAAAGTCAGACTCATTGTTGCTATTGTGTGTCCCGATGTTGGGTCTCCATGCCATGTTGTCCATGCTCCAGATGTCCAATTCTGGCATGCGAGAGGGCGTATTAAGTGTTCCACATTGGTAGAGGAAATGATTTGTTGTCTCCTTATATGGCCTTGGGCTATCCTTACCTCATGCGCTGGCTTTTGGCGTTAAGTCCAAGGTGCATTTTTATTTCATCCATTTCTGAGATGTATTCTTGCAAGCAACCATGAGATGAGCATTTGGTTAGCAAACACATTTTTTTAAAATGTTCAAGTATCTTATATCCATTGAGTTTAATTGAAATTTACAAAATTCTTTGATCCATGACATTGTATTCTGAATACACATGCTTTCTTTTTGTGTCTTGAAACAGAGAATAGCTTGTCACATCCAGTTTTTTGCGTTGACGAGATGGTTGCCAGTTACCTTGCCAGTTGAATACTATGAATTTGCTAGAGGCCTGCAATGGAGTGTTCCCTACTTCAGTCTCCCATGGGAAATGGGAAGCATGCATCAATTTATGATGGGACCGGGTTCAACAACAGACCCTCATTCATACGGCTCTAAAATCAATGATTTTGGAATGAAGCCAGGCAAATACAATGTTAACAAAGCTGCAGCATTATATGGGTTGCCACTTAGTCCTATGGAATATAGATCAATCTTCGGGGTAAGAATTTATAAACTTTATAATAACATAAATATTTGCTCCATGATCATGCTATTGAATGTTCTTCTCAATGGCAGAGCCAGGATCTTCTTCCGGAAGCTCAGTATATCGTGGATCCAAAATATTCTAATGGGTAAGTTTTGAAAGATGTCTCATGTCACAATATTTTGAAGTGGTCAAAGGATGTTTACCTTTTCAATTCATTGGATAACAGCGCGATAAATCTGTGTGTCTGAGGTGTACTTTCAACTGGTTTCCTCTTTTTCAACACTTAACTAACATGCAGTAAAGATCAGGATTACTGATAGTAAATCACACTACCTTCAAACCAGGTGAAAACAGAGCTTTGGCTGTCACAATTCAACCCTCTTAAAGAGAAATAAATGTTTATAACATGTCAATTTGTCATGCTAGACCACTCCATGACTGCTTTGGCATACAATTAAATGTACAAAGTAAGACATACCAACCATGCTTCAGCTATTGGAGCTTAGGTTTAGTAAGAAAAAAAAAGGATGATCAAGCATGTACCTGAAATATTTATCTCAAGCTTATAAGCAAAAGATTGGAGATTTAGCACGTGTGAATGAATAATTCATCTGATGTTTTCAGGTGGAGGGATTTCAACAGAAGCATGTTTTGGTTAGCTGTTATTGGGGGCAGCTTGATATTGTTGCATGCTTTGGTCCTTTTTGTTTTAAGACTGAGAAAGGACAGAGAAAAAAAGTGGAGCTATGGAGCCTTGGTTTTTCCAAGATTTGAGATCTTTCTTACAATTCTGGCTATACCTTGCATTTGCAAAGCCTCAGTAAATGTAGTTAAAGGTATTTCTAATCCTTATGCACTATGCTCCTTTTGCATTGCAATGAGTGCATTCCACCGGTGGTTTTCACATCTAAAAATGAGAGGATACATCTGTAATGACTGATCTCCAATACAGAATATTTATCATAACAGTTAAACCTCACTTTCCTTAATCTTATATTGATGAGGCCACAAGGTTCCATGCATTACATCAATTAGAACTGACATCGCTGAAAGATCGCGATTTGCAGATATTTTGTCACAACGAGTCAAGATTTCAGTACCTGCATTATTATTCTAATTGTGTTCACAAATTCTGTTCTTCTTTTCTTCTAGGAGGATCATCTGCAGGAATTGCTGTTGGCATTTTGCTGTTGGGATTAGTATCATTTCTATTGTTAGCATTGTTTTTGTTCCTCTCTATTGGAATAACATTAGGGAAGCTACTGCAGTATAAGGAGGTGCACCAAGTAGGGCAGAAATTCCATTGGTATGAAGAATTAGTCCGAGTTACCCTAGGTCCTGGTAAAAGAGGTCAGTGGACATGGAAAAATTCGCGCGATTCTAGACATATAGTCATGTTTGGGCCTCTGTTTGAGGATCTAAGGGGTCCACCAAAGTATATGCTCTCTCAGATTGCAGTAGGAAATCCTAACAAGCATCCTGACAAAGTCATTGCAACAGACGATGAGACGGAAGATGCGGAAGCACCTTGCATCCAGAAGTTGTTTGGGATTCTAAGAATATACTTCACATTTCTTGAATTTGTGAAGCGTGTTTGCCTTGGAATTGTTGCTGGTACTTATTTGAAGAATTGGTCTTCAAAATCTCCCATAGTTGTCCTGCTTACCATCACTTCTTTCCAGCTATTCTTCATGCTTCTGAAAAAGCCTTTCATTAAAAAAAAGGTTCAGCTGGTTGAGATCATCTCAGTTGCCTGCGAAACAGGTATTTTCGCTGCTTGTATTGTTCTCATAGGAAGAGATTCGTCCAGAAATGAGACAGCAATCGGTATCACCATGCTTGCGCTTTTCTTCATAGCATTTTTATCTCAGCTTGGAAATGAATGGTATGCATTATACAGACAGACAAAGAGACTCGGTGCTGAAAACAAGTCTTTCTGCTCTGGTCTGAAAGCAGCATCAATTGGATTCCTCTTGTTTTTCATTCCTCAAAGATTGATCAGAAAGCTTGAAAGCGGGTCTGCACTGTTAGATCGTGTACTCAAGGAAACCGGGGATGTTACTTCACCTTGTGACAGGAACCGGAGTTCTGGTAGTAGAAGCTCAGGTACTGATAGACCATGGCATAAGCAATTCAGAGAACTAGCAAAGTCCAGCTTTAGTAAAGATAGTAATGTAACTACAAGTGATCCGTCAACAAGTCGTGTCAGATGGAGTGGATTCTGGAACCCTAAGAGAAGTGGGAGCTCATCTAAGGATTCATCAGCAGACTTCAAGTCAAAACCAAGAGGATTGCACAAAGATTTAGAAGCTATTTTTGCTTCCAAGTCATAGACCTCTCTTATTCATACAACAATATGGAGTTCATGAGACTAATATTCTGGCTTTACTGGTTACTAGACTACAAAGGTGGATCTGAAGCGGGTTCTGTGGATTCAACTGAACCCTTTGATTTTAGTTCGAACTATGTAACCATGTATTTGTATGCAAAAAAAAGAAGAAGAAGAAAATGTATACATATAATAAGACTACACTTATTCTGAACTCATTGACTTAAGTTGTATCTGAGCTTATGTATTTATATTTTGGATTGGATTTGCCACTGCTTGACTGGTATCTGTTCTTATGTTTTTAGGAGGTTCATGTTATATTTCCATAATAATGTATAGCTCTCAAATATAAATGCATGTTGTCTATGTCATTACTAAATCTTTTCATTTTTCATTTGTATAATAAATTGTCCTTGAAACAATAAAAAGAGGGACTATGCTTCATATACTATTTTTCTTTCACCTTTCTTCAGGTAGTAGTGGAAAGAGGAAAATATAGCACTATGAAATCTAAATTTGGCCAATCAAAAAGATAAGTAAGTCCATGTAAGTATATTCCTAAAAGATTCAACAACTTTTGCGACGAGGAGAGAAAAAAGATTAATTACATTAAAAGTAAAACTTTTGCCAAAGGTTTAAAATATTATAATAAACTATAAATTTAGGTCTAAAATTTTCCATTATGTATTTAATTAACTCAAAAATGAATGTGTGTAATATTAAATTTAGTGATGAATTAAAGAGGTATCAAATTTATACCAGACGCCACTATCAAAGAAGAAAAATATTAGGACGAGGAATCGTTAGCCAATTGGATTGTGAAAGTGCATAAAATAAACGCAATTGATGGCATCTCCGTTTTCTTGATTAAAAAGTCAATACAAGAGAGCAGAAGTGTCATTTCTGGAACACGAAGCAAAACCCAGCTTCAAACACCTGTTAAGCTTATTCGGCTATCTTTGATTGTGTTAATAAAAGAAGGAGGCAATGGGATCAATGTTCAGTTCACCTCAGTTTACCAAAGAACAAATGGAGATCACTCTTACCAAAGCCAAGCAGATCGTTTCCTCTAATCCTGTTGTTGTATTCAGGTCTATATTCCTCTCTCTCTCTCTATCTAATTTTCTGAATTTTTTATTTTTAATTTGTTTATAGTAGTCAAAAGAGAATTATTTTTTACTTGGGTTTTATGTTTATTGGGGAATATGAACGGGTTTCGTGTAATTTGGTCAATTCTTATTTGTTGCAAAGATTTGGGACGTCAAGAGCTTTCAATTTTGTCTAGCTTTGGTTTTGTAATTCAAGATGAGATGGAGTTTTCCAATCCTACACTCAAAATTAAAACTGTGCTTCTCTGATAGTATGTGTTTGTCTGTAACCCAATAAGAATCCGGGGAGGGGCAAAGCTATGTATAGCTAGGGGTTCAATTTGTGGAAAAATTACACTGGCAAATATAGTAAAAACGAATTTTCTTGGTTGTTTGAAACTCCCCCACATGATGGAGGATTCTAGTGTAGTCGCAAAGGCAATTCAAACTACGGATTTTTGGTTGTTTGGATCTTTCTCATATGAGAGGGGATTCTAGCGTAGTGGCAAAGGGGTTCAAAAATACTGATTTTTGGTTCTTCAAATTCTAGTGTAGTGGCAAAGGGTTCAAAAATTATGGTTTTTGGTTGTTTGAATCTCCCTTACGTCAGAGGGGATTCTAGTGTAGTGGCAAAGGGGTTCAAAAATTTTGATTTTGGTTGTTTGAATCTACCTCACATGAGAGAGGGAGGATTCTAGTGTAGTGGCGAAGGGGGTTCAAAAGTTGTTTTAGGTTACAGCTCCGTAAATTCCTGGTGCCACCATTGGGAATAGAAACATGATGGACCGGGGTGATAGATGTCAAGTTTTGTTAAAGAATATTGTTGTAACATTTTCTTCTCTCTGTAATCTGTCATGATAGTTGTTCCAAGTATTGTAATATCAGAATAAGTCTTCATTGTATAAGGTTGCAAGTCATTTCTTTAACCTTCACAAAACATGTAATTGTTTTGAATGAGCTCCCTGTCTCTCATTTATGACATGATGTTTATGCTTATTAACGCCATATGCTTGCTTTTCTTCATGCAGTAAAACATACTGCGGATATTGCACGAGGGTGAAGCAACTTCTTTCCCAGCTTGGTGCTACTTTTAAAGTTATTGAACTTGACCAGGAAAGTGAGTGACTCCCCATTTCAATTGCTTCCAAGTGCTTTATATAACCCTTATTCCACCTCCTTGCTGCAAAAAATGTGTTTTCTTACCCTAGATGTAGTTTTATTGTCATGAAGCAAAAAAATATCCTCTTTTGCTTTGGTCATCTATTTTTTTGTATAGAAAGATTGACATTCAGCAACGAAAAAAAACCTTGAAAATTTCTATTAGGTGATTAGTTTCAATAGTCCAAGGAAGACTAATACATTTTATAGAATGTGCATGCTGATTCCTTATAGTAGGTATTTTTGGGATTATGAAGCAAGGTTCGAATTTCAACAGAGGCAAAAAAGTACTCCCACCATTTCAACTAATGTGTCTTACCTTCTTATTTATTGATCTATTTCAAAAAGATGTCTCTTTCCTTTATTTAGTAAATTTTCAATTTCAACATTCTCATTTACACCCCTAATTACAGTCCCTTATAAGGATGACAGAGAACAATAGATGTCTAACACCACAAAATTCAAAAGATAATTTTGGTGTGCGCTGTAAACAGTTTTAGTAGAAATAACAAAATTCAGAACTCTTCTTGACATTGTTAATAGTTTGTGCACAATGCCATTTGCCTGAACCTACCTAAATCATGGTGGACAAACCTAAGACCTAGGTTGGTGAGGGGCATCAGATCTTGATTGAGTAGGAATTATGCATCTGAATAGTTGTGGTGAGGTGTGAGCAAGCTGACCAGACCTCACAATTATACAAAAAAATGAATTTGGTTCTGGAAGTACATAGAAGCACTAGAACTAGTTTGATCGAGAGATCTGTGTTGCTATAACATGTTTGGTTGCTCATGTCTTCTAATAGATATATCTCGAACTTTGTGGCTTTGTTTTATCTTTGCTCAAAGAGTTCCTGACCCCCCTACAGTTGCTCAAAAAGGCTGTGCTTAATTAGTTCCTCCCATCCTTGTTTCTTGGAGCATATATTATAGCTATGAGAGTTCTCTTTGTGATCTGAAGGTGACGGAGATGAGGTACAACAAGCATTACTAGAATGGACTAGGCAGAGGACTGTGCCTAACGTGTTTATTGGGGGAGAACATGTTGGTGGCTGCGACAGTAAGAATCATCAACTTATCCTCTTTATCTTTCATATATTTTCCTTAAAACTTGCCTGCAGCAGCTGTGGCATTTGTTTCTTGTCGTGTAGGCGTATTAGAGAAGCATCAACAGGGAAAGCTACTTCCCATGCTGAAGGATGCCGCTGCTATTCCCAACAATCCTGCCAAAGTCTAGAAAACAGTAGTTGTTAAGCTGACAATAAAAATGAAGTTGAGAGTGCTGTAACTTAACTGCCTCCTCTCCTCTAGTTTGGGTTGTTTAATAAGACGTTGGATTTCAAGTTCCTTTTTCTGTTCTTCCCTTGCCTCAGTCTCCTAAACATTTCCTTTTAGTACCTATTTTCCATTTTTAACTTGCCATCTGTTCCGTTGGGAAATATATATTGTAGATTCGCGTGTTTCCGGCAAGAGTAAATTTGTCACTTGTGTCTATTTCTTCCTTTACTAATTCACAATGGAGAAGATGATCTGAACTTGCATTTAAACATGAAAGAACTTGTAATTTGTGATAAGAAATGAGTAAAAATTACTAGTATAGTTAATCTAACAATAATGATTTTGTCAAAGATAAGAGAGGTTAGTGTATGTTGAATATTATATCTTCTATGCCTTTTTAGAATCGAATCATATTCCAACAAAGCACATGATTTTATCTTTGGGCTTAGACTCAAGTTACTCTTCTTTCACCTGGAGCATTAATTCTCCATGTTTTTAGTATTGGTATTATTTGTCTACAATAAATTGATATATTCTAGAAAACAAAGACAATTTTTTTAATTTACTCATAATAATTTTTTTGACTGTACAAAACAAGGAACAATCTTTTTCTCATCTTCTCTAATAGAGTGGTGTATCTATTAAAAAATTAAAATTAAGCCCAAAGATAAGGTATCATTTTGGACCATTACATTTCAGATAGATCTCCGATTCGAGAATCAAGGGTTTTCTTCCATAGCTTGAGATAGATTTAGGCAATGGCACGAAGGATGCCTGATTGGTCGGAACTTCAAGATGATTTGCTTGCTTTCATAGCTAGGCGTTTGAATCTGATTGAAGATTACTCAAGTTTCCGAACTGTCTGCAAATCCTGGCACTCTGCAGCTACTAAGAACAATTTTAGCAGTGACCTACCTAGAGTTCCATGGCTGATGTTAGCTGAAGAGGAAGACAACACAGATGGAAGTTCCTGTCGAAAGTTCTTCAGCCTCTATAATGGCATGATTTTGAAGAAGAAGATCCCAAAAGCTAGCAGACAAAAATGTATGGAGTCTATGGGTTGGCTTATCACAATCGGAGAAGATGAGGGTGAAGTTAGTCTATTACATCCTTTCTCCGGTGTTCGGATCGAATTGCCCCATCAAAATACCACCGAAGATTATAGAAGACGCCAGACGGGCAACCTATGTACTTTTTTTAATAGAGCAGTTTTGTCAGCTAGTCCTTCACATACATCCGATTACATCCTCATGGTCATTGATGGAGGCAAAGGTTATATCAGTTTTTGGAAACCAGGAGATTTGAGATGGAACAGGATTATCTTGGACCAAAGCATTCACCCTGCTGCAAGTGGTCTTGATGTGGTATATTTTAATGGCTACTTTTATGGCGTAGATCGATTGGGCCGCATCATAGTTTGTGATGTTTCTGGCTCTCAATCCAGTAGAAGTCATATGGTAGCTAAGATACCATTTGATCTTCTTGAAGTTGCAGAACAATTGTACATCCTAGAATCACTAGGATCATTATTTGTAGTTTTGCGCAATGGAGTCCATCTAAGGTACTTCCGAGATGATTGCGACAGGATTCCACTTACCTTCATACGTTTTGAAGATGAAGATGGAGAGGAAGACCTAACATATGGAACAACAGATTTTCGTGTTTTCCAGGTTGATTTAGCTTCTGGCAAAGTGACAGAAACCAGGGAATTAGGGGACAGAGCTTTTTTGTGGGTTATAATGCTTCTCTTTCAGTCCAAGCTTCTAAATTTCCAGGAATCAAGCCCAATCATATTTATTTTACAGATCATTATTTTGGATCATACCTAGCCTATGAAGAAGGAGGAGGGTTTGACATGGGGGTGTTCAACTTAGCAGAAGGAAGTATCCAGCCGCATTACAAGGGTGTTTCCCTGAGTCGTATTAGTCCTCCAACTTGGGTCACACCAACTCTATATTGAGTTAGACACCTTCCTTTATTTACTCTATTTATTATGCTGCTGTATGTTCTTGTTTTACCATGATAGTGAGTAGTGACTATTTTTAAACAATTACAGCCTCCAGATGAGTGATATATCATGTATGTTCTCAGATAATTTGATTACAGATACTCCCATTAGTTGTTATACTTCCTTGCTTCCAATTATGTTGTGTTGGAATGCGAGCACTAAGCAAATAAATTAATTATAATTAATAGTCACTGCCTTATCGCCAAAGAAAACAATTAACAAGAATTTAAGCAAAGAAACTGTGAAAATAAGGTATTATAGCCTATTACAATGTGCAAATAGGGAAAAATCATGATTTCAAAGGGGTTTAAATATCATGATTTTGCTGCAACAGCTGCTTCTTTCTCTAATCTGTCACGATAGTTCCAAATATTGTAATATCAGAATAGTCTTCATTGTATAAGGTTGCAAACTGTTTCTTTTAAACCTTCATTGACCATGTTAATTTACTTTTTATCTACCGCGCAAAGCGGTTAGATTCACTAGTTTTGATTTGTATAATGAGGTCGAAAGTGCCCAAAACATGTGTTTTACAAATATGAATTGAAATGTACAATGTTAAACGGTTAGAAGATTTAACGCTCTCAAATATTTTTGGCGTTGCAATTACCAATGCAATAGATCAGCTTTTAAGTTTCCAATTTTTCATTCTAACTTCTTGAGTTTGGTATATAACTTTGTCTAATATTTTAGAACTTCAAATTAATTTTGTCTAATATTTTATAACTACAAATTAAATTAATCAAATTTTCATATTAGTAATTAATATTTTTCATAACAAGATCTAAGGTAGCAAGTATATCACAAACACATAATTAGCATCTTATTAACTTGTAATAACTCTTTTGGATATAAATAAGTATTACTACTAGTAAATGTTCATCATGAAATTACATATTTTACATTTTATAATAATAATAATATCATGGCTATAAAGTATAATTAAGAAAATAAGAAACTCAAAACTAACTTTTTTTCATACTTGAATTTTTGTTTTATAACTTCATAGATAAAATATAATTTAAAAAATAAAAATACAATGATATGAGAATTTACTGTATCATTAGATCCATTGACAATCAAAATACATTGTTACATGCTCCGCATTGGTAACTTTTGAATTATCATTTTATATCTTTCCAAATAAGTACAATTAAGAAAATGAGAAAGAGTATGATAGTTAAGAAATTCAAAAACAAAATGAGACTAACTTACTGGTGTACCATAACATATGTCAGATACATCTAAAAATGTTATTGCATATTTTACCTTGGTTATGGTGTGCTACAAGGATAACACTTGGGGTGGGATTAGGCAGAGCATATTAAATTGGGGCAAGTGAATTGGCATAACATATCCAGATTCTATTATTATTAATAGGGATAACACTTATGCTACTTTGAGTATATATGGGTTGTGCCCTGGTGGATGAAGACCCAGATTCTGTTACTATTTTTTCATTGGACAACATTCCACATGAGCCAAAGTAGGATATTGTCCATTGTGAACATTTTGGGTATATTAAAATACATGGATTTTCTTTATACAAGCAACACTATCAAAATAAGCAAAAAAATAATAATACTGTATATACAAGTTAAAATAATTTAAAAAATATATATATTAAAATTTTAAATATGATTTGCAAAATTCTTATATTTTGCATTGATCATATAATCACGAAGAGACTAGGATATTCCGATTACATGTAGTGCATAATAAATAGAGAGAAAACTATGATATTTTTGCTAGGTACACAGTTGTAGATGAAATCCTTCCAAACATTGAAATTTGAAGCCCGCATTTACAGAAGAAGCACATCTTTTATTTCGCAAAAAGTTTAAAAAGATTTGGAGCCCTTGTGAATTTAAAAAGAAGCACTTCTTTAATTTCATAAAAAGTTTAAAAAGATTAGATCATTGAAGAAATTTTGATAATGCCAAAACGATTATGGGAAAGAAGTTGAGGATGATCTTAAAAAGATTAGATCGACAAGAAATTTTGATAATAAAAATAATGAATATGTGAAAGTTGGGATAAATGGGATAGGGTCGGGCTGAACCTAAATAGGACAATGTCTTAAACGGGCAAGAAAAAACCTTAGCAGAAATAGACTTAACCTGCCCCGTCTCGCCCCGTTGTCATCCCTAATGTGCTGCAAAATTCGTTGAACACTAAAAAACATTCTCACATAACACATCTATCATAACATTAAATAATTTAATTTTAATCAGATTGAGAATAGCTTTAAAATTAGATTTTTGAGTTGGAGTAAGAAGAAATGGATAGATAAGAGGAAAAATACTAGTGATTAGCAGGGGCAGATTTAAGAAAGATTATGTGGTGGGACGTGATACTGCTTCCTCGATTTTTTTTACAATATATATATATATATATATATATATATATATATGGTTAAAAGGAAAAAACAGATAAAAAAGATATATACTACAAGGTGACACTTCTTAAGTAAAAGTTGTATGTAGCTCCCTCCACGGTCCCACGAAGATCTCTACGTACTTGTCCAGGATAAGTGAGATCTTCGGCCTGCGTGCCTGGAAGGTCACAGAGAATTGACCTATTCATAGAGTGATCCTATGATCGATATAGGATAACGGCTCACGCTTTTTTAATGATCCTTTTTATGGTTATGCCGGCAATGATAGGTGGATTTGGTAATTGGTCTGTTCCAATTCTGATAGGTCGTTGGGGGTTCCTTTTCCTCAACCAATTCGATTGTGTTAGCCTTGGTCTAACATTTTCAGTTGGTAAGTCTTTGAATTTCTAAAATTAAGGTTGCAGGCTCAAATTTGCACAACCTGATACCGCTGACGAAAAATTTTGTGTACGGTAATTAGGTTCCTAACGTCAACTAGGCACTAATGAATTAGTTGCAAATTCTTTTTTAACCAGAAACGAATAATAACAGTGTGTAATCTCAAAATTTATTTTTCAAGTATTATGCGGCGTTGTTAATATTGGGCATTTAGTTATCTCATTATTTTTCTACTTTGATTATCTAATTGAAAAAGGGAAAAAAGCTCTTGTTCTAAGAATTGGTGATATTTTCTCAACGTTTCTTTTTTTATCAAATTCAATAGCAGTAACAACTCCAAAATTGCGAATGGAATTATTGAAGATATATCAATGAAATTGTCAAAATATATGCTCTTTTGGCTTGTAATAAGATTAGGAATGAACAAGCATGAAAATCGAGTAGTTTTCTTGTAGTGAGGCATTGATGAGTAAAATGCAAAAAGACTTGCGTTAATTCACATATATAAAATTCTTTCTCTATAAATGAAGTTCAGTTGTGTTTTGATATTTTAAAAAGACATAATACATCAATGTACTCTTTTAATTTGATTTCATTTCATATTTATGTCCTCTAATTTTAGGTGTATACAAATAAATATTTAAACTTGTATAAATTTGAACAAATAAATACACGCGTTCTCAAGTAAACACTTAAACTTTATATAAATTTAAACAAACAGATACACGCGTCCTATGTGACATCCTACACAACAATTTTTATTTTACGTGATATCCTATGTGTATTATGTCACGAGTAACATTTGTTATATCTTTGGAGATGATGATCTGAACTTGTATACGAGTAATAACTTAAAATTTGTGAAAAGAAATGAGTAAAAAATAGTATAGTTAATCTCACAATAATGATGTCAAAGAAAATAGAGTTTAGTGTACGTTAAATATATTATAATTGGTTGAATGGTAAAACAAAACATTCTTCTATACCTTTCTAGAATCAAATCCTATTCTAACAAAGCAGATAATTTTATCTTTCCGTCTAGACTCAAAGTCGTTCTTGTTCATTCCCATGGAGCATTAATCATCCATGTTTATAATATTTGTGAAGTTTATCCTCAAACTTGTCTTTTCTTTTTGAGATTGAAAGATTCATTATGTCTACGAAATTTTCTTTTATTACAACGTTATTTATATATAAAAAAAAGATATAATTTTAAAAATAAGATAGTTTTTTTTTTATTTAGCTATAATAAAATCTTTTAAATAGTATAAAACAAGAAACATTCTTCTTCTTACCTTCTTATCTATTTATGAAATTTTCCCTTCTAACTAGCTAGGTTTTCTTCCTTTAGCTTGATTACTTGAAATAGTTTCCGGCAATGGCACAAAATATGCCTGATTGGTCTGAACTTCAACCTGAGTTGCTTGCTCTCATAGCTAGGCGTTTGAATCTGATTGAAGATTACTCCATTTTCCGTACTGTCTGCAAATCCTGGCACTCTGCAGCTACTAAGAACAATTTTAACAGTGACCTGCCTAGAGTTCCATGGCTGATGTTGGCTGAGGAGGATGGCAGTTCCTCCTGCCGAAAATTCTTCAGCCTCTATAATGGCATGATTCTGAAGAAGAGGATCCCGAAAGCTAGCAGAAAACTATGTATGGAGTCTCTGGGTTGGCTTATTACAGTCGGAGAAGATGAGGGTGAAGTTAGTCTATTACATCCCTTTTCCGGTGTTCAGATCGAATTGCCCCATCAAAATTCTACCGCAGATTACAGTGGACGCCGGACCGGCAACCAATGTACCTTTTTTAAGAAAGCAGTTCTGTCAGCTAGTCCTTCTCATACATCCGACTACATTCTCATGGTCATTGATGGAGGTTATATCAAGTTTTGGAAACGAGGAGATTTGAGATGGAACAAGATTATCTTGGATCTAGGCACTCGCTCACCACGTTTTGCACGTGGTCGTGATTTGGTATATTTTAATGGCTACTTTTATTCAGTAGATTGTTTGGGCCGCATCATAGTTTATGATGTTGCTGGCCCTCAATACCCTAGAAGTCTATTGGTTGCTCAGATACCATTCGGTCACAGAGGTTTTGTAGGGGAATTGTACATCCTAGAATCACTAGAATCATTATTTGTAGTTTCGCGCAAGGGAGTCCATCTAAGGTACTTCAGAGATGGAACAACAGATTTTCGTGTTTTCCAGGTTGATTTAGCTTCTGGCAAAGGGACAGAAACCAGGGAATTAGGGGACAGAGCATTTTTTGTGGGTTATAATGCTTCTATTTCAGTCCAAGCTTCTCAATTTCCAGGAATCAAGCCAAATCATATTTATTTTACAGATCATTATTTGGGATCATACCAAACCTTTGAAGAAGGAGGAGGCTTGGACATGGGGGTGTTCAACTTAGCAGATGGAAGTATCCAGCCGCATTACAACGGTGTTTCCCTGAGTCGTATTAGTCCTCCAACTTGGGTCACACCAACTCTATATTGAGTCAGACACCCTCCTTTATTTACTCTATTTATTATGCTGTATGTTCTTGTTTGACCATGATTGTGACTATGTTTTAAACAATTACGACCTCCATATGAGTGATATAGCTTCTCAGAAAAAAGTAGGAAAAAAAAACATGGTCAAGTAGTTGAAAGTGAATTATTGATGTAACCATTGTTCATTTTAAAAATTCAAGTTGATTGAAGTGTCTTCTATTCTCGCTTTGATTTCGAATATTTAACCACTATACGCGTTTCTCAATCTTGATCTTCCACAAATTTGGAACCTGTAATGTTCAATGTGGTACTTTCCATCAACTTCCAAGCAGAAAGTGGACCAACACGAAGAGCTGATTCCTCCACCCTCTACAAAACAGAGAACAAATACAGTAAACTTATCTAGTTTTTATTCAAATAAACACCGAGGAAGAATCCTTACGTTGGACACATGTATCCACAGATCAAGTGTCCTCAGAGCTTGCCAGAAAACAGTGTGTCACGAGCTAATGACACTCCTTCGGTCAGATTTTTAACATGTCCACTGACCAGTAAAGCTGCTGTTGCATTTAGTGTCTGCTAATAGTTTAACATAGTGTGTGAGAAGTTGGGAAAGAAAGTCGTTAAGCATTGAAACGAGCTCAATAGTTGCTTCATAAGATGTGTATGCACCAATTAGAGTAACACGGTAAGGAGATTTAGGTATAGCAGGATAAGACTTACAAATGCATCAGCAATCAACCCTTTTTCTCCTGAGAGCACACATCTAAGCATCTCGGCGTTGTATTATGGACCTCCACCTCTCAGGCTTTCAAGAGTGCAGCGAGGGATGCCAAAGTCCACTAGAGAGAGACAATCTTGAAAAACTACTGAAAAATGTTAACTGGTTCTGATATTGACAAGTTACTTACATGGATCGAAAGAGAATTTCTCAATTTTATCTGGAGTAACGTGACATCAAGGACTAATCCAGGACCTGTAGAATTACCTCATTATTATGAACAGATTGTGACTTAACAGATTTACTTTCTTTTTAGTAAGTTACACTTAAAAGGATTTACTATAATTGCAACAGGGAACAATACCAAGAGGACTCATCTCATCTAGACCTTCCGAATGAACAACAACCAGTGCTCTTTTCATGAAAAACCTTTCGACTGCTTTAGCCATTTTTGTCGACCTAAAGAAAGGACGTGTTGATTACAAAATAGATCTACATAACACTTGGCACAACCACTGGAACAAGTCGAACAACTATGAACTAGAAGTCAAAACAGAGAAGATGAGAAGAATTAGCACCTCAATATTCAGAATGATGTGTACAAGATTCTTATAACCACATACTCGGAGCTTTATCGTGACAGTGTAATTGGAAGTTGAAAATTTACCAGGTTTCCTTTGTAAACTCCAACTACAGCAAAAGGCACTCTTGCTGGATTTAACATGGGTCCAAGGATGTTGAATACAGTCTTTACTTCCAGCTTTTTCCTAATAGGTCTAACAATCTTCATTGCCGGATGGTAGATTGGAGCCATCATGAAATCTATTCCAGCCTGAGCTACACACTCTTTTACCTCCTGAACCCAGTAACATTGACAAATAACCAGCATCATCAAATTAGAAAATCAAAGATAATGAGTAATTCTACTGATCCATAGGCTATAGGACAGTTTTTAGTTAATTCTTGACTAGTAAGAAAGCACGATGATCTTAGGCTGCCTATAATTTCTTTTAAAGGTTATATTTTTATCAATTTGAGGAATTTCGTATACAAGCAGTTGTTCACAACAAATTTTCGTAGGCGCTGATTGAAGAAGCACAAAGCTCTATCGATCAGTATGGAGATGTGGGAACTACTACTGATTCTTTCTGGTGTTTTTTCTTTTCTATCATCCTCATGCTTTCTCTTTCTTGTCTTTTTTCCAATTGATTCAATATTAGTATATGTTGTATAATTTGGGTTCTACCGAAATTTTACTTCGAAAATATGTCTATAAAATATCTAATTTAGTGAAGAGAGGCGACAACCGACAACTAATTGGATTGTATGAAAGATGTACCAATGTTATTAGTCGGTTACCACTCCGAAAGAAATTAAAACTTCAAAAATCTACACAATTTGGCATGTCAATCTCACCACTTAATTAAGTTAATAAGAACATATCACGTTAAGTTTTACATTTTGCATAAGTTAATGCATTGGAACTAGTGAACAATGTATACGTATTGCTTATAGAATAAAAAGGCCTAAATTGAGACAAAGGTGGAAATTGCAATAAGAATAAGCAGGTTTATATTTAGTTGCAAAATCTTAAATTATACAGTAACTTGAAGAATCAAGTTTTCTCTATATGTGTACATACATAACAATTACTAACATACAATCAATTTCTTCATTCTTCATACAAAACTTGAGATGATGCAACATTGATATAAGTTGCACTTATATGTTCTTCTGGTAAACACATTTGAACTACGTCTCTGTCTTCTTTGGATCAATCAAACACTAGAAAGCGACTTTTTCCCTACAGTCCAAGTGTGGCGGAGAGCTTCCAGATGGCAATACATTCAACAAGTCCTACATATTATCAGAGCAGGATTCATGTTAACAAACTAAATCAGTTTTCAAATATTTAACATTTGTTAGTGCATACCATACCTGTTAGTGCATCCATTAACGACCAAGTTCTTCTGTGCGAAGCTGAGTGGACTGCACAAAATGTTCAATTTGTTAAACATGTGTGATGCAGAACTTGGAGTAATATTTTGACTCTCGAGAAGCAAAAAATTCAACATAGATTAAGAGGAAGGGAAATGTGTATGATCAATCACCTGAATCACAATTGGAAGTAGAATTCCATGATCCACACATACACAAACTGCTAAAATCATTAACATCATAGCCACAAGATCCTCCTGTTGCCTCACAAGCTTTACAAAATGAGTCATCTCCTTCAACTGAATACTTCACTCTTATCCCATAAGACCATCCATGAGGTCCATCCACTCTCAATGGAGCTAAACTATAAGCACTACTATACCCTTGACAACTAAGTTTAGTCAAATTAATAGCCTTAATAGCTTCAAACGAAACTGCACAACAATCAGGTGGACCTGATCCATACACTACCCCCACTTTTTTTGGCCCAATAATATCCCAGCCCGTAAATTCCTGGTGCCACCATTGGGAATAGAAACATGATGGACCGGGGTGATAGATGTCAAGTTTTGTTAAAGAATATTGTTGTAACATTTTCTTCTCTCTGTAATCTGTCATGATAGTTGTTCCAAGTATTGTAATATCAGAATAAGTCTTCATTGTATAAGGTTGCAAGTCATTTCTTTAACCTTCACAAAACATGTAATTGTTTTGAATGAGCTCCCTGTCTCTCATTTATGACATGATGTTTATGCTTATTAACGCCATATGCTTGCTTTTCTTCATGCAGTAAAACATACTGCGGATATTGCACGAGGGTGAAGCAACTTCTTTCCCAGCTTGGTGCTACTTTTAAAGTTATTGAACTTGACCAGGAAAGTGAGTGACTCCCCATTTCAATTGCTTCCAAGTGCTTTATATAACCCTTATTCCACCTCCTTGCTGCAAAAAATGTGTTTTCTTACCCTAGATGTAGTTTTATTGTCATGAAGCAAAAAAATATCCTCTTTTGCTTTGGTCATCTATTTTTTTGTATAGAAAGATTGACATTCAGCAACGAAAAAAAACCTTGAAAATTTCTATTAGGTGATTAGTTTCAATAGTCCAAGGAAGACTAATACATTTATAGAATGTGCATGCTGATTCCTTATAGTAGGTATTTTTGGGATTATGAAGCAAGGTTCGAATTTCAACAGAGGCAAAAAAGTACTCCCACCATTTCAACTAATGTGTCTTACCTTCTTATTTATTGATCTATTTCAAAAAGATGTCTCTTTCCTTTATTTAGTAAATTTTCAATTTCAACATTCTCATTTACACCCCTAATTACAGTCCCTTATAAGGATGACAGAGAACAATAGATGTCTAACACCACAAAATTCAAAAGATAATTTTGGTGTGCGCTGTAAACAGTTTTAGTAGAAATAACAAAATTCAGAACTCTTCTTGACATTGTTAATAGTTTGTGCACAATGCCATTTGCCTGAACCTACCTAAATCATGGTGGACAAACCTAAGACCTAGGTTGGTGAGGGGCATCAGATCTTGATTGAGTAGGAATTATGCATCTGAATAGTTGTGGTGAGGTGTGAGCAAGCTGACCAGACCTCACAATTATACAAAAAAATGAATTTGGTTCTGGAAGTACATAGAAGCACTAGAACTAGTTTGATCGAGAGATCTGTGTGCTATAACATGTTTGGTTGCTCATGTCTTCTAATAGATATATCTCGAACTTTGTGGCTTTGTTTTATCTTTGCTCAAAGAGTTCCTGACCCCCCTACAGTTGCTCAAAAAGGCTGTGCTTAATTAGTTCCTCCCATCCTTGTTTCTTGGAGCATATATTATAGCTATGAGAGTTCTCTTTGTGATCTGAAGGTGACGGAGATGAGGTACAACAAGCATTACTAGAATGGACTAGGCAGAGGACTGTGCCTAACGTGTTTATTGGGGGAGAACATGTTGGTGGCTGCGACAGTAAGAATCATCAACTTATCCTCTTTATCTTTCATATATTTTCCTTAAAACTTGCCTGCAGCAGCTGTGGCATTTGTTTCTTGTCGTGTAGGCGTATTAGAGAAGCATCAACAGGGAAAGCTACTTCCCATGCTGAAGGATGCCGCTGCTATTCCCAACAATCCTGCCAAAGTCTAGAAAACAGTAGTTGTTAAGCTGACAATAAAAATGAAGTTGAGAGTGCTGTAACTTAACTGCCTCCTCTCCTCTAGTTTGGGGTTGTTTAATAAGACGTTGGATTTCAAGTTCCTTTTTCTGTTCTTCCCTTGCCTCAGTCTCCTAAACATTTCCTTTTAGTACCTATTTCCATTTTTAACTTGCCATCTGTT